TGATGTGTGTGACAGCACAATACTGTTACTGGAGACAAACAGCAGCAAACCAGCGCAGGGTAAAGAGCCCTAAGCTCCAAACACGCTGGTAAGTGCAGTACTGCATTGTGCACACAAAGCTCAGAATGCATCTGCATTAGCTTGAACAAAATGTTGCTCTAAACCTTTCCATTATTTAATTCAGAACAGAGCTGCTGTTCCAACTCTTTCCAGTTTCAAATCTCATTCACTTAGAGCTCACTTATCTCTGGTACAGAATACAACATGACAAAGCTGGACTTAAGGCCTTGAAGAAAAGCTGTAGAGGAAAATCAGAAATGTACTTTTGTCAACTCTCCACAAACACTATTTTACTTTACCTTCTCCCTCAAAAAACAAAGTCCAAACCATAGCTAGAAGACGTGCTGCTTGCAGTCATCGTTAAGATCATCAGATTCTGTGGGTCCTGTCTGCTTTGCAAACATGCATTTTAACAGATGCCTTCAGATATTCCAGATGCTATGTAATGGAGCTGAGTATCTGCCTTGCCTGGAGATGTTTGCTTTGCTTATTAATTATCGCTTCTGTAGTGATCGTTAGTTGAAGGTAGAATAAAATGCTGCTGCAGGCTCATCACACTCGAGACACCATGCAAACATTAGTATGGGATTTTGATTTCTACTAACTTCATTTCCTGTAACTGTTCTGATGACACAAATTTGTCTGAAATACAGAAGGGAGATGGACTGCCCCAGTGTTCACGTGTTGTCTCTGAAGTCCCAAATATCTACAAGTTCTTGCATCAGCGTACAAGACAAGCTGGAAAAAAGAACATTCTGATTTTCTGTATTATTGATTTAACTTGTTACAGGAAAGTAGCTTTGTGGCTGGAACATATAAGCCTGCAACAAACATCATGCTGTGAAATGGCCCTGAGGCTGCAACTGAAAAAAAAACCAACAAAAAACCAAAGAACACCAAGTAGTTAGAACTAAAATAGGATGTGCTCCTGTTAAAATTCTTCTCCTTTCTGCAAATTCATTTCTATGAGCCTCTTGAGTAATTTTTTGACTGGAAAAAAACAATCAGTTCAACAATCTGAGCATGACTCATACTAGAAGGGAATATTTACATAGTTCAATTACTTACCTATCAGATTAATATAGCAAGGTAAGATGTGAGTTAGTTTACTTTCTCCTGGTTGCATTTGTTTCAAAATAGCAAATAATATGGCCTGGTTTTGCTTTAGATCTACTTGAGGAAGCTTGATAACACGTGCCTTTCACACGTCAGTTTGTCTTTATAGGACATAATGAATTATGTTTATTATGACAATGATATTTTCTAACTTTTTTCATATTATTGGTATTTTTCATACCAACAAGCTCTGAAAGTAATGCATATTACCCACTGTCTCTCTTACAACTACGTATCCTCTCCTTGGAGGTATTCCAGTAGTTCCAATCTCAGCATCAGATCTGCAGAGGGATCACACTAATTTTAATGAGATCTGGACTTCAATGAGCAATCTGTCAAGTCACTTGCAGCCTGTCCAAGGAATCACCAGAAGGTCGTATGGTTTTCCTGCAACCTTCAGTATTTCAGGCTCCAGGCCAAGCATCCATAATCAGCACAGATGGCACCAAAGAACTGCAGCCCAGCGTAACTGCACTAATGAAGCCATGTACTTTCCACAAGAGCAAACACAACAGGGCACCGTTAGCAACTGGCAGAGAAAGGGAAATACCAGACTATACTAAGCAAAAGCAAGACTCCCATCTGTGCTTTCAAGATCATAACAGCTTCCAAAAATGGAAATGAGATGCAAAACACAATTTAACTAAACAACACTGATTTGTGCTCTGATGCAATGAGGCAAAAGTTTTGTTCTCCAAATCCTGCTATGTAGAGATCTGCTATGTAGAATCTAGAAATCTGGGAAGGAGGTGGAAAAAATCTGCCTTGCTGTAGCATTCCACTAAGAACTAGATACTAGGCAGCTTTTTGGCTGCAGTCCACCCAAGAGTTAAGCTGCAGGCTTTCGTTGCTTGTAGCAACAGAAGATGTACTGGAAAGAAATCAGAGTCACTTTCTGGATGCCAAGATGTGCAGGATGCTCTCAGTTCTTTTTCTGGGAGGAAAAAACTGGCACAAGGTCCTTCTGATCCCCTGCACAGTGGCCACATGCAAACAGATCAGCATCCTGTACAGCAGTTTTGTTATGTTTTCTACTTTAGTGATGGAAGAAATATAACCTTTGTGGCAACACCAGATCCAGAACCTTTGCCTGAAAGTTGAGATTCAGGATGGTGGCAGCATTGGTAACCAAAGTTAATTACTCTCAAGAGTGATGGGGACTGGAACAGAAAGCAAACAGGTAAGCAAACTTTACATCTGTACTCTGGCATCAGCCAATACATTATTGCTAAGCTGATGAAGTACCAATGTGTTACTCTTATTATATCAGAGTATTCCTGAAAGCATCTAATGCAAAAGTGAGTGTTATCTTCAGGTAACTCCATGATAACCCTTACCTTTCAGTTCTGCAATAACTCTTACCTTTGAGTGCTCTGAAAGAAAGTCTGGGAGGAGATAGACCTGTGCTAGAAGCTCTATGTAGTCACGGCAGCGGAAGTAATATATGTGAGAAAGGATACTTTCCAGAGAAAAAGTCTCCAAAGCTTTTAGATGATCTGAGAATAAACAGATGAATATCCAAGTCAACAACCTGTAGGTACAGGCATACTGCTGCCCTAATTATTCCACCATTCCACATATAGTAACAATAGCAGCAAACCTCCCAGAAACTCTGCTAAGATAAACCAGTGAAGGTAAGGAGGCAGGAAACCTATTTTCCATCTGGTTTGAAAGTCAGGAGGGTAGTGAGCAGATGCTCGCTCAGCGTTAGCACACGGACACACTGGAGCCTCCAAGGGAGTGCTCAAAAAATGAAAAATTAACTTACGAAAAAGAACTCTTCAATCACTTTCAAACCAGAGCACCACAATGAAACAACACACAGAAAAAAAGTTACCCTTAGATGAGATCAGCTCAGTCTGCAGTATGGCTCTACAGTCACACTGACGCAGTTGCGGGTATGATACATGGAGATGGAAGTAAAAGGCTGGCAGCAAGAACTGCTTAAGCAAGCATTGCTTCTGAAACCCTTCAACTGCAAAATTCACTCTTTGGAAGTGGCCCACCAGACAGAAAAAAATGATTTAGCAACATACCTTCTTCTTGATGAGCTTCAGCAATAAGCTGGCAATGCTGCACGCAGGCAGTTGCAATATCCGCTGCTCTGTCTACCATAAAACTCCCTTCAGTATCAATGAACACTGCTTCCCCAGCTACACCCCCAAAGCACTCCGGGATCTGGACATCCACTGCCAGCTGCATACTGCCATGGAAAACAAAGACAAAAAGATAAGTAAGTACATTACAAATCTCCCCCTCCAAACTTGTTACATTTCTGCTAAGGAACAGTGCCAGGAAAGAACAGGACCATAACAAGATGAACTCTCACCATCCTTAAATTCAACAAAGAAAAGTGATTCTAGGTTGCACAGAAGTAATCTAAAAAAACCAAATACCATAGTTGTGTTTTCCCAACACCAGGTGCTCCACAGATCTCAGTAATTTTCGTCAGTTGCACACCACCTCCCAGAATGTTGTCCAGCGCTGAACAAAAGGTGATGATGAAGCCCTGCGCTTGCTCTTCTTCCAGAAGTTCCAGAGCTGTGCACTTCCTGGTGCTGTCTGACCCCCCAGCCGTCTTTGCTGCATCGCCAGCACATTCCTGCCTGACAACCTGTAATGCTTCCAGCGCCTCTTCTTTGGAGACCCCAATTTCTAGGAGAGACAAAGTTATGAGAAGTTACTTTGTTTTTACAATTTATTTAGAATACAAACAGAAAACACAGCTTGTTTGGCAGAACCTGATACTTCTGCTGCGTGACTCAGAATTATTAATCTTTTTAGTATAAAACGCTTGCCAACACATTCAGAACTAATGATCCGATCTGCAGAAGAACTTGGAGCAGCTGAGGCGTCAGGAGGCAATGAGCAATCTGCAAAACGGCCGTCCACAGCCACGCTTAGGATCAGGGAGAGCAGCGTGCTGCTGAATAACCTCGTCTGAAGCAAGAAAGTCCCCGAGGGCAGTCGGGCTGCTGGCCAGTGGGCAGCAGCAGCACCCACAGATCACAGCGAGCAGCGGGGCAGCGCAGGGCCGAACGCAGCACTCAATATTTCAGTCCTGAAACAAAGTAGTGCCCGCAAATGTCCTTACAGTGTGTTACCACTGAGGGCCGCCCAGCAGACTGACAGGCAGGCTTCAGCCTCCTGAAAAGCAGTTCTTGTAATTTCATATAGGTTCATTTCATGTAATGCGTGCAGCTAAGAGGAAGAACGTGACAGTGTTTTATTTCCAGTGCTTATCGCTCAGTATAACCAGCGACCGCCTCATTTCCCTCTCCCTTGGAGGTGCCCCAGGTCCCACAGGGAAGCTGCCACAGTACAGACCTCAGGACGGGTAATACACTTCAGCCTCTCAAGGTGCTTCACGAGCATTAAGCCCTGACACGAGCATTAAGCCCTGACACGAGCATTAAGCCCTGACACGAGCATTAAGCCCTGACACGAGCACAGCCCCGCCGCAAGGCGCTTCCAGCTCCCACACGGGAAGCGCGCCGAGCCGAGGCACGGAACGGCCCGCAGGCCGGGGAGAGCCCGCCCCGCGCCGGTACCTTTGCTCAGCCCGCACGGACCGGTCTCCAGCAGCTCCTGCGCTGTTTGGAAGCCGGCGGCCAGCAGGCGGGCACGCAACGCGGGGCTCAGCGGCAGGCTGCCCACGTCCCGCTGCATGCCGCGCACACCGCCCTGCGCGGCGCCAGCGCGGCTCTGACGGAGCGGCCCGTGCGCATGCGCGACGGAGGGGGGGGGGCAGTGAGGGAAGTGTCTGCGCGCTCGCGGGCTGTGAAGGCGCGAGGCGTGTGGACACGTGACCGGGGCTGCGGCCGTTGGGCGGTGGCGGCGCGAGGCGGTGAGGGAGCGGCGAGCGGTGCTGCGACGGGTTTGGTGGCCGTGCGGAGGGAATGGATCAGAGAGCAGCGGTGCCGAGCTAGCTGTGAGCCAGAGGCGGTGCCGGCTCTGTTCTGTCTTTGCTCGTATGCCTACGCGGCTCTCTGGGTGGCCCGGTGGCCTCCTTCGCCTTCTCCCTTAGCAGGGCTCTGCCCGAGCCTGCAGGCAGGCTGTGCTCAGGCGGCTCGGAGCAGCCAGCAGCCGCACCGTGCTGACGGCCGTTCTCTCTGTCGGCAGGGCTTTCAGCCACTGCTGACAGCTTCACTTCCAGAAGTTCTCGAAGCCTGAGGTAACTCGGAGCCGTGACACCGTGCAGCCTGGCCTCGTCCTGAGGGAGGAGGATGGCTCACGTGCAGCCTCTGCCCATTCCCTGCCCTGTGCAGCTCGGGAGTTTGAAAGGAGATTCTCTAGAAGCTCAGCTGCACGAGTGCGTCCGGCAGGGGAACTGCAGGAAGGTGAAGAAGCTCCTGAACAAAGGTAAAAACTCGCTTAGAAAGGGCCTTGTGGAAAAGCTCTTATTTGAACCACGTGCTTATATCTGTTCAGAGGGAAAAAATAGGTAGAATCAGAATGCTGTCCATCAATACAGTTGTGGAGATACGTTTACAAAAACTGTTACCTTTGGCCTTCTTGGCAAATGGCACTAATTAATAAAAAGTGCTTTTGGCTGTAAGGCTTACAGGACCTCAGTCTCAAGTGATGGAGGTTCTGTAAAACTAAATTCTGAAGGTCTGCTTTAGGAATGTCCAGAGGGCATTTTAAGTCTTTAACAGGGTGGTTAAAGTATGGGTTTAGATATTGGTGTTTTTAATGACATGGGGACAGGAATGGCACAAATGAACCCTGGTAGTTGGTGCAGTTGTTAAGTAGAAATGTTCCTAAATCAGTGAATCAGAGCAGAATGCTGATAGCCTGGAAGTGATGAACACAGCAATGAAAAGGAAGCAGCATGTATATATGCTGTGTGTACTCTGCATAACACAGGGAGCTTTGGACGTGATATTCTCTAGAGATGGAAGAAATATAACTGTGAAGATTAATTGTAGGCTCGAAGGTAGTTTTTCCTAAATGTTATTGAACATTTAAATCTCATGCTCTGATCTCTAAGAGTGTGACTACGCAGCACGAGCGCCTGGCTGCTATGGAGGGCTGCCCAGCGGCTGCAGCCGCCGCTCACCGTCGCGTCCGTCTGAGTGGAGCGGCCCTCCAGCAGGGGGCGGTGTCCCCGCCCCGTCCCTTGAGCGGTGCTTCTGATTGGTCGAGCAGGGCGGAACATGCAGATGAGGGCGCGTGTCCGAGCTGCAGTGTCGCGCTTTTGGGGTTCCCGCACCGGGGCCGGGGGGCGGCGGGAAGTTGCGGGAGCGCGCGTGTGTGCGGGGAGCGACGGTGCAGAGCCTGGGGCGGGACTGGGGCTCAGTGCGAGCGGTGTCCGTGAGCTGGAGGGCGGTGCGCGGCGATGGGCCGGGCGGCGTTGGGAGCGATGGGTTAGGACTATACTTTCAGGGATCATTTCTGTAGTTGGTAACTAGAGGAGTGTGATCGAAAGTGTCCGGCGTCACAACCCACGAGGAGGAGCGGTGTGTTCTCTCCTGAGCGTGAAGCGGGCGGGCGGTGCTGCTTGTGCAGGAGCCGCCCGCCATTGATGACCGTTCCCGTCCCACATGTTGGGTCTGGGAGGGAGAGAACACAGGCTGAGTGGTTTGTGCCTTATTATTAAAGAGGTGGAAAAGCAGAGCGGTTTGTGGCTGTTGTGAAACACAGCTGGAAGCAGCGGGTCTGTTTTGTCCCGTGCCGTAGGACGTGCGCGCTGCGCTGCGGATGCTGCCGAGCTCGGAAATGCGGTGCAATTGCGGGGCCGCTGTTTGGCTGCTCTCCAGAGGGCCGGTAGGAACGCGCTGGGGTTCAGCAGTGCCTGGTGGCTGTTCCCGGTCTTGCAACGCTGCCCTGGCAGTGGGGCAGATTGTGGGCCGGGTACATCACCCGCTGGCACACGAGCGTTCGGGCAGAATCACGCAATCACAGAAGCGTTGGGGTTTGAAGAGATCTCTGGAGATCCCGCAATGCAAACCCCGTAAAGTGGGTCCCATGGAGCAGGTTACATAGGAAAGCATCCACGTGGGTTTAGAATACCTGCAGTGAAGGAAACTCCAGCGCCTCTCTGGGCAGCCTGCTGCAGTGCTCTGACACTCACAGCGTTCCCGTTTGTGCGCACTGACCCTCGTCCTGTTGCTGGGCACCAGGGAAAAGAGCCCGGCCCCATCCATTTGTCTCCTGCCCGCTGTATGTTTATAAGCATCGATCAGATCCCTACTCAGTCTTCTCCAGGGCTCCCAGTCGCTATTCATCAGCGCGATGCTGCACGTCCCGCTCATTTTCTGTCCCTCTGCTGGATTTTATTCAGCATTTTCGCGGCTTTCGATCAGCGGTACCGCAGGCAGTGCGGTGGCGCCGCGCCTGCGCGCAGAACTCGAGCCCCGCTGCGGGCCGAGTGCGGGATGGTGTTCCCGCCCCTTCCTGAGAGCGGCGCTTCTGATTGGTCGGCCGGGCGGAACATGCAGATGAGGGCGCGTGTCCGAGCTGCAGTGTCGCGCTTTTGGGGTTCCCGCACCGGGGCCGGGGGGCGGCGGGAAGGTGCGGGAGCGCGCGTGTGTGCGGGGAGCGACGGTGCAGAGCCTGGGGCGGGACTGGGGCTCAGTGCGAGCGGTGTCCGTGAGCTGGAGGGCGGTGCGCGGCGATGGGGCGGGCGGCGATGGGAGCGGTGGGTTAGGACTATACTTTCAGGGATCATTTCTGTAGTTGGTAACTAGAGGAGTGTGATCGAAAGTGTCCGGCGTCACAACCCACGAGGAGGAGCGGTGTGTTCTCTCCTGAGCGTGAAGCGGGCGGGCGGTGCTGCTTGTGCAGGAGCCGCCCGCCATTGATGACCGTTCCCGTCCCACTTGTTGGGTCTGGGAGGGAGAGAACACAGGCTGAGTGGTTTGTGCCTTAATTAGAAGTTGAAAAGTCAGATTGAAATCAAACTTGTAGGGTAACGGCGCAGAGGGAGCCGCTCAGTTTCCGGGTAGAGCGCGGTGTCTGTTCTTAGTCCTGTCGTGCAGCTCTGGGCGATGTTCGGGGCCGGGTGTGTCTCCGCTAGCCTAGAAGGGCTGGGGCGGCAGTTGCTCGCTGTCAGCGCAGCCCCGCTCACGGCTGTCTCCGGTCCCCCCTCGCTGAGGCAGAGCCCGGCGCCGCAGAGCCGAGAGCAATCCCGGGCTGCGGGTCCCCGGTGCTCGGACAGCGCAGCCGGAGCGGCATCAGCAAGCGATATTGCGCATGCGCGGAGCCCAGGCCCTGCCCCGAGAGCGGTGCGTCTGATTGGTCTTTTGGGGCGGAACATGCAGATGAGGGGGCGTGTCTTAGCAGATTCGCTGGCTCCGTTTTCGGGGTTTGGTAGCGGGGCTGGGGGTCACGGGCGGCGGTGGGAGCGCGGGTGTGTGCGGGGAGCGGCGGTGCGGGGCCTGGGGCGGGACTGCGGCTCGGTTTGAACGGTGTCCGTGAGCTGGAGGGCGGTGCGCGGCGATGGGCCGGGCGGCGTGGGGAGCGGTGGGTTAGGACTATACTTTCAGGGATCATTTCTGTAGTTGGTAACTAGAGGAGTGTGATCGAAAGTGTCCGGCGTCACAACCCACGAGGAGGAGCGGTGTGTTCTCTCCTGAGCGTGAAGGGGGTGGGCGGTGCTGCTTGTGCAGGAGCCGCCCGCCATTGATGACCGTTCCTGTCCCACGTGTTGGGTCTGGGAGGGAGAGAACACAGGCTGAGTGGTTTGTGCCTTATTCGGAGTGGAAAAGCAGGTTTTAAGATTAACGCAGAGGATTTTTCAAATGATCGAATCCGTTCTGTTGAAGGTGTCAAAGCTCTGCTCTTCCTTAATGCTCCCCTAGAGGCATGGTCTTTTTTTTTAACCAGCGGGGTGTTGTGCTGTTAATTGTGCTGACCTGTGAGTGCTTTGCTTCTGGCGTTTGGATTTCATTCATATAGAAACGTTGCATCAGCTGTGGGTGGTGTGTAAGGAAAGCTACAAGGGAGGTCGCTTATACCATCTTATCAACGCTTTTCAGTCTATCTCGTTATATTTCTTATTTGCAGCAGGAACGTGGCAGTCACCTGCACTGTCAACAATCCTGCCCTTCCCTTCCTCTTTCCCTTTTCTTTTAGAGGAGAAAAACACTTCCAGTCATCCTGATTTCTTTGCAGGTGCTTCTGTTGATGCTGTGAATTCCATGGGCCAAACCTCTCTTTTCACCGCTGCATTGTTAGGCCTTGGTAGAATAGTGGGTGTGCTGTTGGATTATGGCTCAGACCCTAACCAGTTAAGTACACAAATACTTCTTTCTATTTAAATTGAAACTAGCAGTTAATCTGTTAGAGTTTTCAGCTTTGTTATGCAAAGCTCCTCAAAGGTAAGCAGGTGGTTAATTTTCCTTGTGTCCTGGCACACATTAATGATTTGCTGTACATAATCGCTATCAGTACGCAGTTTCTTCCCTCAGGCTCAGCTGTTTGGTGGTGGTAGGGGTTGGCTGTAACGTTTCTGCTTTAATGCTCCCCAGTCGCTGTTATGATGGAAGCACTCCGGTCCATGCAGCAGCTTTCTCAGGAAATCAGTGGGTTCTTAGCAAGTTACTGGATGAAGGAGGTGATCTGAGAGCGCACGATGAAGGTGGGAAAAATCCACAGTACTGGGCTATGTCAGCTGGAAAAGAAAGCAGTGCTCAGGTAGGGGTTTGTGAAGTGTGTACACGTTGAGTATGTGCTGCGTGTGCATTCAGATCTTAAGGTGAAGAAATTCCAGCATTTCAGAGATAGATGGCTTTTCTGTATTTGGAAAAAATATTTAACTTTTTTAACTTTCATAACAGCATTTTGAAGTCCTAATGATTGAGATTAAAGTCAGGTTTGGCTGAGGCTCTGTCCATGCCCATAGCTTGTTAGGACTATCGTGTGTACTTGTAAGAGAGGAGAACGACAGCTCCCTGGTTTTAAATTCTGAGGTAACCTTTTCCCTTCCCACCCAGATGCTGGAATTCATACAGCGCTGTACATTCCACATGCAGGCTGCCATTCAGAATTTTCCCTGTGATCCACTGAGGAAGATTTGCTCATCAAAAGCACTGGTTTCCAGTCCATCCAGGTTTGGTGGCCTTGTTCAAGGGTAAGAATGTATTCTCTTCATGGAGGAATTGGCTTTCTTGGATTCTTACCTCCCCGTTATCTTAAAAGTAGCTTATTCCTGACCTCATTGGTCACTGTAAATCTTTCAGAGGTGTGTTTCCAACCACTCATGAGCTTTTATATCAGATGATAGGAAAAATGCATATTTGTGAAGAAAAAGTGGTGCAGGGTGTCTGTATGTATGCATGACTGGCCACCTGGCTTTAAACAAAAGCCTCTCGTAACAGTCTGGTTTTTTTTAAGGTCTTAATTACTTGCACAATAGTTTGGGATTTCAGCCTTTGCATTACACTTGCTGTGTGGAACCAGGCATGATGTTTGAAATCCATGACTGCTGCCTTGGTTCTGTGCCCTGTCTTTGCCTCAACATAACAGTTACTGCTCTTGTTTGTATGTTTTTGTTACTTAGAAATGCTGACAGTCCTCTGGGTAGATTTCTGAAAGGTGGAGTTAATGCAGCCAAGAACATCTACAGCTTTGGTTTTGGGAAGGTAAGCTGCTATGGATAACGTTTTTCTAATGTTATTAGGACAGTTTTCCTATTTTTTTTATTTTTATTTTTTAGTTGTGTGTTCTTCACAGGAAAAAGCTGTGGAAATCCCAGCTATTCAGGCCTCTATTAATGGGCCTTACTGGAGGAGGCTGATTTAGGACAAACGATAAAACCTTTGCTGTGATCGTTTCTGCTTTTCTGATTTCAGCTTCACCAGGAAGTTAAGCTTTTTCACTGGGCACCTTAAGATTTCATTGCAGTGCTTTGGTTAACGTTCCCATTGCAGCGATTGCTTCAAAGTTTTTGCTGAGTTTTGGCAGATGTGGTACCTCTGGAACTCCTGCACGTTCCTTTTGGTTTATGTGCTGGTGTTTCAGTTCTATCTTGCAGGCAGTGGGCATCTGGGCTACTTGGCATCTCTCCCTATTATTGGGGAAAAAGAAGTGGTTCAGGCAGATGATGAACCAGCATTTTCTTACCGTGTTGGACCATGCATGACCATGACAAAGTGAGTGGCATCAAAGGGACTTCAGCCCCTCTCCATGTGCAGCTGTTGCTATAAAGTGGCAAATTGGCAAACAGGTGCTTTGTTTGGATTGTTTTCCTTGTGGGTTCTGTACTCTTCCACCACCTTGTGTCACAACTTTATTTTGCAGTCTACTGGTTGTCATAGACTCCTTTGGTTGCTCTTGTCCCTTCCACACATAGGTGGTTATTCACTGATACAGTGACAGCAATAAAACACTGATATACTATTGTCTGGATGATCAAAATAAGGGCAGTGTTACTAACATCAGGACTCTTACAGAGGTCCTTGTAGGTAGTACTTCAATGAGGAAAAATAACTTCTGTAAAAAGCATATTGCAGATACTCTTCTCCTCGTAGCTTGATGTGGGGGAGCAGCAGAGTGACAGTGAAGGAACTCAGCTTTCAGCCCCATCAGAACTGCAGTAAGCTACGCTTAGCTGATCTTCTCATTGCAGAGCAGGAGCACAGTAGGTAAGAGACAATGAATGTGCTGTCAGTGCTCCTGCGGTCTGTGAGTGGGAGAAAGTGTGATTAACCTCAAGCAGGCTGTCAGGCTGCATTTCTGGTTTCTCTCCAAATGAGAAATACAGGTTTTTTCTTCTTCTATCTCTTCCTACTCTGTTTTCTCCCCTGTGTATAATACAGAAAAAAGTGATATTCCCTTCTCCCACAAATGCTTCACTGCATGTTTCATTCATAGCTTGCTTGGATTCCTCTAGAAGCAGCAGTTTGTCTATACAGATAAGTTGGAAGTATTTATGTAGAGAAGACCCAGAAGGGCAGGACTCTGTTTTTTGGTCTCAAATTCACTATAACTTTTTTCCTTTCCCTTTGCAGTAAACTCCGTCATCCCCATTTGCTGCAGTTGATGTCTGTTTGTCTGTCCAGTGATTTGGAGAAAACCCGTTTGGTGTACGAGAGGGTCAACTTTGGTTCTTTGTACAGCATCCTGCATGAAAGGGTAACTGCAATACTTTTTAAGCAACACTTATTTGAGTGTTTGAATACAAGCAGCTAAGATGCTGTAGGGGCTGCAGCTGAAGACAGAAGAGTCAAAGAGCTGACTGTGCTGCAGGGAGAACTTTGACATTGTCAGTATCTCTTAATTACTGTTTAATGTGTTACTGTGGTTTGGTACCCAGAACATGTACATTATTCAGCAGGTGCACTTTGTGTTGTTTTTACTACAGAATATTTCATTTTGCTTTCTTTGCCTCCTGATGCACAGCAATGGTTTCTCACTGCATCAGGCTTTGAAGTCCTGCAGTGCAAAATCAATAACTGTGTGGTTCTTTTTTTCAGCGTACCGAATTCCCAGTGCTGCGCATGGAGACAATTCTGCATGTCCTCCTTCAGATCAATGATGCTTTACGTTTTCTGCACTCCCGTGGATTTATCCACCGCACAATTACCTCCTATGCTATTCAGATTGTTTCTTCTGGTGAAGCAAAGCTATGCAACATGGAATACATGGTAGAGAGGTAGAGAATTGCCTTACTGTGGAAACACAAAGTCAGTGCTAAATTCTGCTGATTATCTAGTGGTATCTAGTGATATCTAGTGGTCAAGAAGGACATTCCTCTGCCTCTGAATCAGGCAAAAGAGTTACAGGAGAGAAACATTTTAAATTTTTGGGTAAACTACTTTATACTTATATACATTTTTTCCTTCTTTCCTGTAGTGCAGTCTGATTAGGAAGGGAGTCAAAGATCAGTTAGACTTCAGTGAGAGTAAAATTGGCAATAAGCAAGATTTTCCAATGGAAATATGCAGAAAGGAGCAAGAATACTTCTTAACTTCTTTTTCTCCTTTCATATAGCAAGGATGGTGGAGAACACAGTGATCTGACACGTATTCCTGTGCCAGCCCAGCTGTATAAATGGTGCTCTCCTGAAGTAATCCTTGAAAAGAGTGTCACGGTGAAATCTGATGTTTACAGCTTCTGCACAGTGATGCAAGAAGCCTTGACAGGTACGTGTGTGGGCTTAGGCTGTTGTCACCACGGGAGCTCACCGAATGTTTTCGGAGCAGGCTGTTTATTTGCCTTACGTTGCTGCATAAAGCCTTGCAGTTATTGCACGTGTGGAGCTGAGGTGGGGAAGGAACCTTCCTGACAAAAAGCCAATGTTGATGATGGTGGCAGGGACTGCGGGAGACTTGTAAAGTGTATGGAAAAGCTTTAAACTGCTGAAGAATGAGATTAATGGTAGGTATTACAGAGATAAAATCTTGTTGAGTGGTGTTTTGCTGCTGTTTGTCATCTTCATGCAAGGACAGCAAAGCATTCAGTTAATTATTTGCAGTATGTAAGATGAGCCTGTATAGCTTTTCTCCTTTTCATCATTAAGAAAATATATGGGAAATCTTCTGTTATATGCTGACTTTAACTGTTTTGACAGTGAAGTATAATAAGCAATTATCCTGAAAATTAAACCTGGAAGGTGAGCTGATTGGGAATGAGCAATACAGAGCGTGGTTACTGTGTGACTGTCCTCTGCACGGCTCCCTGTGTGGGTCTGCGTTTCTCTGAGAGAGGCTGGATTGAGTGCTGTTATTATAGTGAAATCTAGTAATTTTACAAACAGTAATTATAGTTTTATAGTTTTAATTAGAAATTACAGGACATGTAGACAGTAATAATTCTTTGTTTCTGATTCTTCTCTTCCTCTCTCCATTAGCGTTAAGATACGACTTATGACATGAAGTGTACACTTATGTATTGCAGAGACCCTGCCCTGGAAAGGTCTTGAAGATTCAGTAATTAAACAGCTCATAATTTCAGGACAGCAGTTGGAAGCAGATGTCAGACTTCCTGTACCCTATTATGACGTTGTGAAGTCAGGGCTTGAATCCAAACAGAGGAACCGCTCCATGAACCTCCAGGATATTCAGTACATACTGAAAAATGATTTAAAGGTAACTTGTGGAATCGTGTCCTTTTTGTGGTTTTGAATGGCAGTTTCATGTCTGTTCAGATTCAAGTTGTTCTGCTTAAAATCTACGTGAGGGGCTTTTTTGTGTGAAACCTGAACATTGAGTGTCTTTGTTTGATGATGGAGACAAACCGCTTTAAAATAGAAGGTGGAGTCACTGGACTTTCAAATACAGAAGTCATTCATGGTCTGTCTTGTCTTTCAGGACTTGACTAAGTCTCAGAGTTGTCATTCTGATGAAATGGCAAAAGCACAGAGGCCTGCTGTTTTTGCAGATATAAACATCTGTTTGTCGTCAACTTTCAGCTACCAGAAGAGAACACTGGAATTGAACGAAAAAGGGGTAACAGAGGCTGGTAAGTTTCTTTTAGCAAGGTGTGGTGTGTCCTTTGCTTGGTGTGTTCCCCAGTCCATGAAGGTCTGATGTAAATAATTACAATGTGAGCATCTGGAGATTTTATGACATAGTTTGGAAAAAAGAAAGCATTTAGACTTGAATTATGGCTAATAATTAATGTAAACTCAAGACTGTTTGTCTGGTTAATAATTGAAGTTCAGGCACACTGCTTTCAACAGAGGTGTTAAGTGCTGCTTATGTAATCTCTCAAAGGTGTTGATTCCTTAAAAGTACACAAGTATTGTGTCTGATTGGCATCTGGAGGAATAGCTAAACACTAACATCATATTTTCCAGACAGTTCTGCTGTCCCAAGTTACCCTGTTTTTCCTGAAGAGAATAATGCTTTAGTGGACCTTGAGGCCCCCACCAGTCTGCAGCTAGTTGTGCAGGAAAGCAGTCACGATGCAGCTTCTGAAACCCAGATGACCTGCAGTGTGAGTGATGTGGATGACAGCCTCTGTAGCTTTGAAATGAATGAAGTCTTTGCCAGTTGTCCTGACTTTCATGAAGACTTCCTGGAAGAAGGAGCTGAATTAAGTCGAACACTGAAGGATAAAAAAAGACAGCAAAAGGAAAAAGATGAGAAAGTCCTTGGAGACCTGTGCCTGTCCCCTGGAATGTACTGTGAGGAAAAGCCAGGTTATGAGGAAGGCAGCATTTCAGAGTCAGTTGCAGAGTGCACTACAGAAGAGGAGGAAGGGAAAAATGAGGCCTCTGACCTGAGCATGCTGGCACAGGTGAGAGGAGATGCTGGCAGGAGGAGGAGTACTCTGTCTTCAAATGAACAGCACATCAGTAAATGTGTCCTTGATTTAAAGATTGTTCAGAGCATGTTGCAGCAGGCAGCAGAGTCCCTGTGCAGAACAGAGGAAAAACTGGACAAATTAGAGGCAGCTGAAAAGCAAAGGAAGCTTCTGCAGGGAATTTGGACAAATCAGCTTTCTGAGCAAGTTTTTTGTGACAGACCCTGTAACAGATCTGATAATACTTATCAAAATATCAATAACCCTTTTTCTGGAGCTAACACTTCTTTATGGAAGGCTGTAGGTCCGCCATCGAGTGACTACATTCCACCTCTGATGACGTGCCGCTCACAAGGAGCTCTGCATGGAGGTGGTTTCCAGGCTGTTTCAAATGTGACTGAGGAAACGTGGGCAATTCAGAATGGAAAGTGGAAATGCTTTCATCAGAGGGGTAAGAGTGAAAATGAGAACAACCAGCATGACCTCAGCTTCAATGAGGTGAAAAGCCTTGATGATCAAGTGGACCTCGAACACGAGGTAAAACGTGGGGCATTTATCACTTTCCTGTTCTCTATCAGGTTTATGGTGAAGAGTTATGAATGTAGTAATTATGAATGGTGCTCAAGAAGAGGGAGGAGCTAAAATGTGTAACGGTGACTGAGGAGGGAATGAAGTCTTGTGATAAAATGGGGAAAGTGTGGGGCCTTTGTTTTTTGTTGTTTGGTTTTTTGTATGTTTTTATTTAAGGAGATAGGAGCTGTCACTTCATAAAGACTTCTAGATCATTTTCATTATTAAGAATAAACAGTTGATATGCTTAGCAAGACAAGAATGAGAAATTTGTGTTGTCTGCTGTGGGACTAATCTTGGATCATTTAAGTGTACTCATTGCCATGGGAACCAGATGTTGTGACAGTCTGCCTACATGTGTGAAACCTGGTATAAATCCAGAGAAGAGTTTCTGCTAGGCTAAAGGCTGGAGCTGCCATCCTTTCAGCAAAGAAAAACATAGGGAATGAAGTTTGTCTTGTCCAGTTCTTAGTAAATCTCATAGACAGCTCTGCTAGTAATTAACAGAGTGCCCAGTGTGCTGAATCATGGCTTGTTGGACTCATTTCAGCATTTACTCCCACGTGTATCTGTTAGATGCAAAAAAAAGTTCAACTTTCAGATTCAGAGAGGGAGTGACTCACGTTGTGCAGCAAGTGGAAGCAGAGAAGAGAGGCGGTGAGTTTTGATCGTATTCACCAAAAATTAATTGTAGTAGATTCATCTTGCTACAGCCACTGTCCAAAGGAGATACATCCAGGATTGAAGATGGCATTGGATGGTTGTTTTTTTCCCAGTAAGCCAAAAGCCATCTGTCCAATTAGGTCTCTTCTGTGACTCACTGACAGCTGCAGAACTGACAAGTAACTGCTGCAACTGGGCACTTCTAAAAGTGGTGTTCAGACAAATTGCAAATGGTTTGCTGATGGAGGTCAGCGTTCTGGAAGTGTGACTGTGCTGCAGGAGAGCGATCTAATAATGAAGTCAGTAATAAGGGTTCCTCTCTGCACACAGCCTCATTCAGTTCTCAGTAGAAACACTGTAGCTTTCACTGGTGTAGGACTAGGCCCTACCTCACAGGGACAAAAAGCTGTCCTGCCTCATGATTTATTACAGGTGCTATCCAAAACCAGCATCTGAAATTTGCAGCACAAAAATAAACGAGGAGAGAAGGAGGATGCAGCCAGAATGGAGAAGTAAGTAAATCAGTGTTACCTCAGCATTAATGGTAGCAAACTTCAGTGTGGTGGAGTGCATTAAAACTTCATATGTTTTTGTCATCTAAGAAAGGTCTGTCAGCCTTGATTGCTGTAGATCTGTTAGGCTATTTTTGGAGAAAAAAAGCACATTTTGCACATTCAAGATACGAAGTAATCACAACCACACTAAGACAGTTTGACTATAAAGCCCAAAGAATATCTGTCTCTTTTTAGAAGGATGTGAGAGTAGGAGATCGTGAGTTTAGAACGGGTAGCACAGCAACGACCAGTGGATGGCAGTACAGAATGAATAATAGAGAATGCAAACTAGCAGAAGTCGTTCATAAAAAAAGGCTTATCTGTATGATTTATGCAGATTGTAAACTTAAATAGAAGGAAGCTTCCAGCTCTTTTCACTATAAAGGAACACACAGGCTGTAACTTCAGCATTTTCAAGTATGCAGACACAAAGAAACACAGGGAAAGGTTTCAGAGTCCAGATTGTGTTTTGTGAGTTGGTAACTTTGTTCTTTTTGTGTAGCTGAAGTAAGGCAGATGGCTAGAAAAGTGGCCTCAGGACAACTAGAGCTGATTGCCCCATATCTGGCCAGTGATTGTACATCTGAAAGTGAAGTGGAGAGTATAAAGGAAGCATTTCCACATGTCACCAGTAGAGTCCAAAAAGGGCGAGACCAAGGAGGATATAGATGGCATACAAGTGACAGTGCTGAGCCTTGGGAGGATGGATCTGAATCTGAGGAGAGTGATCTGGAGTCTATATTCAGAAGTTCTGGAGGTAAGGCTGAAAAAAGATTTTTTTTTTTTTTTTTTTTTTTTGTCTTTTTGTCTTTTTGTCTCTATCTCCAAGCAGATTTCAGCTTCTGTGGCTTTTGTTAGAGTAATTGGCCATTTCCCTTCCAGAGTCCTTCCCCAAAAGCAAAGCCAGTGGCTCAGTCATTTCTGAATGTAGGCTGTACTGAATGTATTGAATATTACACATGAATAGATGGAGGAAATGTCCACTGAGTTTGGAGACCATTCATGATCACTGGTCACCACATACCAGCATGTGAGAGCTAAAGCTTTCAAATCCATGAATATGCTCTCACTCTTGTTTCTTTCTATTGGATTGCTACCAGTTTTCTACCCTACCAGCAGAAGTAGTGGACAGTGCTTTTATAATGGTTATGGATAAAGGAACAAGGAAAACTTTGCCTGCTTTGATTAATAATATCTTTTAACTTGTTTCTTTCTTTTTTTTTTTTTTTCTTCTTCTTTTCTTTTTTTGAGACAGTATGGTTTTATTCCATCAGACCACTCATTTCCTGTTATTTTTGCCTTAATGACTGTATTCTATTCTGACATTCTAGGGGGAAGTTGCCAGTCACCATCACAAGATGAACAGACAGAATCTGGACCACCTGTTGATAAGAATTCAGTCATTTTTCAACAAATTGAGACTGTCTCTAGGGTATGTACAATGCTCTGAGAAATCTAGTTGCTGCTGGTTACCTGTAAAACAGTTCAGAACAGTCTCTTCATGTTACCAAACTACTGAGGCAGCCATCTTTTGAGTCATGATCTGACCAGCAGTCATCTCAACTCTTTATTTTCTTTCCTCTTCTGTGGACTGTCAGAGTAATGCAAAGAGTAGGAACTAGATTGAAACAGAGAACGATCAAATTGTGTATCATTGCATTTGATGCAGTTTAACATTATGGACTAAAATGTATGCTCAAGAGAGAGTGGAGACAGCATCTTAAATGCTAGTGTCTTTCACAGGGGCGTTCAAGAGAATTGCCTTGTTCCTTTAATTCATATCCCAGTGAGTCTGAAGAATTCTTGACTCCAGATTCTGATTATTTCCTTCCTCCTGCTGTTCAGGGAAGCTCAGAACTAAAGGTAAAAGACACAAACACAACAGGAATGAAGTCTGTGTCATGGATGTTGGACGTAAGTTGAATTGCATGTGATTTTATTATGCTCCCATTTAATTTGAAGAAGAGCTGTAGAAAATGTGAGAGTAGATTTTTATTGTCTTCTGAAGGAATATCTACAAATTGAAATCTATCTAAAAGTAAGAAAAATTCTGACCCTGCTCCTTTAGAAACAAGCAAAAAAAACCCAACAAACCAAAACCACCAAAAAATAGGAGGGACATGTTTACTTTATGTGGTTTCCCAGTGACCATATTATCTGTGGAGCCCTAAAATCACTCTCTTGTTGGTTGAGAAAAGTTTGAGGCTGCTGATAATGTCAACCTTTCCTCTCAGCTCTGTAAGCCACAGTATTCAAGAGTCTTAAAACAATCTTCATTCGATTCTTGAAATTTTGAAACTTAAACAGGCTACTAATTCCAGTCCTTGCTGCGTGCTGATGAGCTCTTGAAAAGCTCTCTCCATTCTGCTGGTTGTGAATATCGTCCTGTGTGAGTTGTCCTACTTGTTGCAGTTTACCAGTGAGAAATGGCATTTGTTTCCTTTTGCCTTTGCTCCCTGCTCTGGACCTCAAACCCTGGAGGGAAATTAGCAGGCACTCATGGTTGGTTTTGTTTTGTTTTGTTTTACAGAAACAGATGCCTGAAGATGCAGGATCAGGTGTTCAGGTATCAGGTAAAACTGCTTTTCTGAAGTTGGGGAGACAAGTCTTGTTGCACTCATGTATTTTGGCAGCAGCATTCCTGTTAGAAGGCTGAAGCTGGGTTTCTTGGGGTCACTTGGTGTCTTTTCTTTGTTACACTGAGAGCTGATTTTGGAAGATGAAATTTGGACATTGCAATCACTGAAATATCACTTGATGCAATGATTATGTTCTTGCTGTTTGATGAAGCAAGCAAGCAAATCCTACTCTTTGTTTTATACCTTCAGGCTAAGTTTAATGTTTTCATGAGACTTGCTGTGGTGCTGGGAATTAGAGCTGTATTTACACATTAATGTTATTAAAAGTATCTTGAGCATAAAAGCTTTAAGAGCTGACATTCTGTGTGCAGAGTAATGTAATGATCACTGTTGTCTGCTGCTGCTTGTCTTAGCTCAAATGTGTAAATGTTGTGATATTCCCCAGTGCTTTAGTGGTTGACTGTCTGGCAGCTGTGGTATGTTTATGAAAATGCATCTTTAAAACACATTTGTCTCTAGACAACAACAAAGGTCAGAAGAGCTAAAAAATTTAATAAAGTTGCAATTTCCTGTTCAATGAGTTGTGTCACTTTCCTTTGTACTTGCAAAACCCAATAACAGGGAACATTTGTTATTTGTATTCAGGAGGAAAAATATTACTCTGCGGCACAGCAGCACAGAACTCTGGCAGTAACACACGAGGAGTGAATCAGCTTATCCATATGCCTGTAGCCAGGTAGACAGGCTTATTTTCATAGTTACTCCAAGCATAAATTGGGTTATGAAATATGCTCTCATAACTAAATCTGCTTAATATTCAAATAAGGTGCCATTGGTGTTTTTAATCATCATCTACACAACGTAGTTCATTGCAAAAAAAAAAAAAAAAAAAGGGCTTTCATGAGTCTCTTGGGGTTTTGTTCTTTCACCATGTTCACTATATTTGTTTTGTTTGTTTCCCTCGTTAAGCAGTAAAACAGGAGAGGTAAATCATGTATATAACAATTTCTTTTACACTCGTACAGTATATCAGTTTTAAACAGAGCAAAGATAATCCACATTATGGCTTCTGTCATCTGTTTTAATTTTGTTCTGCTGTGGTTTCAGAGCTCAGGTGGCATGGAGATCATGCCTTTTTCCCTTCTCTGGGAAGAGTCTTGCCAGTACACTCACTGCATCTTGCCTGCAGATAACATTAGCCTGTGCTGGGGGACTTGCAGTCTCCCTTGTCAAGCATTGAGGTTTTTTGTCCATTATTTTTGTAAATTTTGTGTTCCAGTAGTGAGCAGAGATGTCTGCCAGCATCACCACTCTGCTGCAAGGAGTAATGTCCTTTAAAAAGAAAGTCTTCTCCCTGAATGTCTTTCAGCAGAGGTTTTTGGGTTTCTTAAAAGCCTGTAGCCTCCCTGTGGTAGTCAGCTTGCTTTGTGTTCCCCCAGTTAGCAGCTGCTCAGTGGGAGTGAGTGACAACTGCTTTTACTGTCTGTCAGTATTTGTATTCTCTCCTCTCCACTGGAGGAAATGAATTACGAGTGTCAAAGGTTGAAGGTAGGCAGCAAGAACATAAATATTTGGCCTAAAGGTAAAAAGTAATGTTTCCTGTTGCTGTGTCACTTAAGAACTGAGCTCTGGCCATCAGGACACAGAGACCTTTTGCTCTCTTACCATCAGACTAATGCCTCTCTGGCCTTGAATGGGACTGTTGCAGTTTGAGAGAACAGTTTATAGTGTCGACTGATCAATGAAGATAAAGCAGTGTAGTGATGTATATTTACAGATGTGTAGTTAACTTTCAGTCTGTTTTGAAAGCAATACATGCTGTGTAGATTTCTTTTTTCTCTATACTGGATACAACACGCTGAAAATAGTTTTTCCCTCGCCCTCTCTCTCCAATCTCTAAGGTTTTGAGCAAAAAGTTTGTATGAGTCTCAGAGTGAAGGTCAGCCTCTGAACTTCTCGAGAGGAGAAACAAAATGCATTTATTTTCATAATTTTTCTGAGAAGATCAATGACAGTGACCTTCCCTGTCTTCTCTTCCCTTATTCCAGTGTTGAAGCAGCACAAGAAATGATGTCAAGGGAGCTGCAGGAAGACTCCAAAGAAAAAGACACGTAAGAGCCACAGATTTGCTCTGTGCTGATGCCTGCAGCAGGTTGGCTGTTACCACTGTGAAAGTGCAGCGTTGATGTGAGACAGGAAGATGTGACAGACAAGCTGAGAGTCGGAAAACTGGGATGTTGGAAGAAGTTGGGAGATGGCTGTAAAAGGGCCATTGCGTAGTTGTCCTCAGCTTAGATCAGAATATTTTCATGTCTATGAGTAATTAAATTAGTGTAACAAGTAATTAACCCAGTGCAATTTGCATGTGTCTCTTATGTTAGCGTTGCGATTCCTTGATTCTTCCATGCATGTTATGCAGAAGAAATAAAGTCACTTTGAAGGGTGGATTGTTAGGCTGCAGTTAAATAAATTGCATTGCAGAAATAGTATTGTGATTTATCTTCTTAAGGAAAAATTACAAGCCAAGTTTGTGACTCAACTCTTGAAGTTGCATTTTTTACAGAAAATGGAATTTTGCATAGCAATCATTGACTTGATAACAGTGAATTCATGATCACGTGAAGATGCTGTGAGGACAGCATAACATAATCTGCAGTGTATTTGCCTTGTGTCATTCCAGTCCAACAGCAAATCAAGAGTTTTTGTTACTCGAGTGTCCATCGCTTCCTGTGCAGAAGCTGAGCAGTTTCAGTTAATCTGAGTAATTCTTTTACAGACTCCTAAGATCTTACATTATTCTTAATGAATCTTTATTTTTTTGTGAAATGTTGAGGATTTCCTTTGACTTTGGAGGCAGTTTTTTTCCTAGAGGTTCACAGTTAAAGCTGTTGTCCTTTCTGGAGGCAGTTTCCTGAGGTTTCTTTTATAAGACAGTTATTAAAATGAAATTCTGTAAAGAAGGAGAAGGCTAATAATTAACCTTTTGTCTGCAAGATCACTGAAGATGATGATCTTTAGTCTTTGAATTCTGTGTGAAGTTGTCAAAGCAATTGTCTTCTGGAAAACTGGATAAGACTGAACGAAAGTAGAACGTAAAGAACCTGAAAGTAGCAGAATTTAGTGATTTACAAGTAAAAGAACAGGCTATTCTAACATGTCAGAACATTTTTCAATGCTTCAGATCAGTGGCAGATATTCAGGATTTGTCAAGTATTCCCTGTGAGGAAGAGCACTGCTACAAGGACATAAGTTGTAAAACGCCTGGAGCGAGTCGTGTGCCCCCCAGTGTCAGCACTCCAATCAGTTCAGGTAACTGCAGAGAGGAAAGGAGGGAGGACAAATTGCTGGAGTGTTTCATGCCAAGTAGAAACTGTTTATGCAGATCACAGAAGCTCTATTCATGTAGTACCAATGCAGAAATGCTGTTTTCCAGTTTTACTATCATTTTTTTTTTTTTAATTCTAGAGGAAAAAATTCCAGTGTCCTTTGAGAAGCACAGATGCTGCCATGAAGTAGTTTTGGATTCTTCCTTGTGCATTTGTCAAGAGGTTTCCTCTGCAGTGTCCCGGACGTTCACCACAGCCTATGAAGAGGAAAGGAGCACTGAAGTTCTCTCTGCTTTTCCAGGCGTTTGCTCCTCTGGACTGAATGAGCCTGTAAGTCCAGGGAATTAAACACATTACACTTAACTCAGTGCAAATATTGACCAGCATCAAAGTGGCCTTGCGTGATGATAAAGAATTGCTGCTCAGCATTACATCCAGCGATCTTGCAATACCAAAGCAATACAAATTGGCAAAATTGTTAGGTAGAAAAGACCTGTTTTGTTGGAGGATGGAGTTGTCACAGTGGTCTTCTGGTGTGTCAGCAGTTGGTGGCTTACCAGAACCATTCAGAACTATGAATTATGGGCACTGAAGGTATGGTGTGGCCTCAACATTTATCTTGACTGTCTGTCCAGTCAGCTTATATATAAAACAGTTGCCTGTATGTTTTCCATGTGTGATGATTCTTACTCAGTGATGGAGTTGTCATTTAGATACTAAATTAGAATTTGTTCAACCAGAACAGTAGCAACTGCATTCAGTGTCATCAGGTCAGCTCTGTGTTTTTAGGCTTGCACAGAAAACTGTTGAAATTCATTAAGCCCATTAGCAGCTCAGTGTGCCTTGATTGGTTACAGAGACAGTTGATTGTGTTGCTGCTTTGCCTAAAATTTTCTTCTAGGACCCAAGTGCCTGAAGTACCTGCTTCCATTTTGAAGTCTGTGAAGACTTGCCTTTGATTACAGATCTTGGATTTTTAGGGGGTTCTTGTGGCTTTAATAATTAAAGGTTTAAAACAGAACGAGAAAATGGAAGTTGTCAGATCTGTCCTTCCAGAGAACTGCTGCCCAACTGCCCATACACAATGTCAAACTAAATGAAGATTGCGTGGCTGACAATATCTTAATGACTAGCAAAAAGATGAGCAAAAAACAGCTTAGGCAAAATTTCTGACACATCTTGCTACCTGAATGTTTCCTGTTTTCTCATCTTCTGAACCAACTGAAAGGCTTATTGAGAAATTTAAACTTATTTTATGTCTTGTCTCATTTTTGACTTGGTATGTTAAAGCTGGTAGTGGGGGAACAGCAGTTCTTCAGTTTGCCTTGTATTCCGTTCTGTATGATCTTACACAGGGTGGAATGTCAGTTGTTGCTTCATCTTCGAGAAGCACCAGGAAGGCACTTGGTAAGTCTCTCAACCCACTCCCAGCCCAAATAGAGTGATCAGTAGATGGATAAACGCATTTGAAAAGGAATTTTGTAGAATTTCTTTTTTTTTTTCTGGACATTTCTTTTTGTAAGGGTAGCTAATTGTGCACTCAATTGTATTGCTAGTGATGGTGACATTAGAAATCGTGCGTTTGCCCTCGCAGGCTAGGAACTCTGACCTTTAGTTGGCTTAAAATTAGCAGTGCAGAATTGAGAACTGTATGTGCAAGTCTAGCTCTGAATACTTTTTCCATTTTGGTCATACTTAAAGATATTTGATAAAATGTGAATGAGCCAGGCTCATGAGGGTTGGGAAATGAAATACGTCAGCAATGCTGTCACAGTCTGAGTTTATATCGCAGTTATTAAGAATTAATCACTGCTAATTAACTTCCCCCCCCATCTCAGCGCTCGCTCAGGCACCTATCCACCTCCTGGATGAGCTCCCTGCACCAGCCCAAGAGCTGCTGGATGAAATTGGTGAGAGACACTTCACCCAAAATGATACAAGATGCGCCAGCTGCGTTTCAAAGCCAAGGACAGCACTTCAGTACACAAATCATTCTCTACTAAAATACACAAGAGCTTCCAAATCGGTTGCAGTCAGGTCAAAATAAGAATAGGAAGTTAGGCATCAACAGCTTAAACAACCGTCAGTTATTGAAGGTTGTCCTTGAAGCTTCTGCATCTCACATAATGGTTAGTGGCTGTTGCTGACAGCAGCTTGCTCGTTGAGTACAGATGTAATTAAGCACTGGAACAAATTTGGCGTAGACTGAAGTTTTCAGAGGTGTGGTGGAGCTGTGCATGTTGTTCATTAAAACCAAGGCAGACTGGGTGGCTGCATCCCTGAGGTATTTTTGCAGAACTTAGTCTCAGTGAATTACATTTATTTTTGTGGTCATATTTTTATGGCGTTGTCTGGAGATGTAATGAAAGGGGTTTTTTTGGTGTAAATTACGGAAAAGAATTTCACCGATTTTTATATTTTATTTTTTTCAGCCATAAACTCTTCCTAAACAAACACCAGACATAAGGACAATTAAATGTGCATAGATCCTATCCTCTTTTGGAAAGGAGGCACTCAGACAATTCTAATCTTTTTATTTCCTCATTCAGCGAAAGAGGGACGTGTAGAGACTGTCAGCAAGTAAATAAACAATGGTCTAAGACAATTTGTAGGATTAACAACGGAACTAATTTATGTAAAAATTTAATCTGTGTTTGGGTGGATGAAGACAAGTGATATGTCAGGTTGTTTAGAAGTAAGGAAATGTGCTGTTTCTAACAGAGTGTTTAAAGCAGCAAGATTCCATTGCTCAAGACTTTGCAGAGGAGGGATTGTGTGACTGCAGGGTGCAAAAAAATGGTTAGCAGGAGTCCTAACATGAATATTATGGATTGGAAAATATCTTTGACATTACTGCAGAACTACTTGAATGCTTGTCATGGTGTATCCAGCTTTTAGAGTTATTTACTTAATCGTGGTTGTTTTGGAAAACCCATCAGAAGCTTGAAAAGATGTTGCTCAGTAGGATCGTATTGGCTGTTTTCACAACAGTGCCTCCTCCATCAGTGTTCTGTGGCTTTTTCTGGGCATTCACCTCTTAAGTTTTGATACGGGAGGCTTGAGATCTGAACTATCCAAATGAATCTGCTTTTGTTGTGTCAGTGTAGTGTATGCTGTGTTCAGATGTAAGTGATGAAATACACAAAGGTATAGGAGCTGGTGTGAGATGTTCCATTGAAAGCAGCACTACCTGCTTATCCTCCTGACTCACCATGATGAAATAATGCCTGTGATCTTATGGCATAAGAAAATAGCATCTGTTGGGATAATCAGTGCCGTGTTTCCTGTTCTGTTACAAAGGTACCACAGATAGTGGTGTGTGTTACTTCTGAAGCTGTATATAGTAGTAAGTGGGAATCATTTTTAGACTTTCAGCAAGTAACGTCAGGAAATCTAAGTCTTTATAAACTGTGCATTTGTTTCCAATGAGTCAGAAAGGGAAGAATTTTTAAAAGAAAAATAAAAGGAAAGAAAAATCAACAGAACACGAGTTGGCTGAACAGTATGGTCACTTGAGAATGGAACTGGTACTTGTTTGTGTTATCCTACAGCTTTGTTACATCTACTCTCATTTAAAATTGCTACCCAGAGGGTAGAAGCTACAGTGACTTTATTCATAGGAGTATCCTGGGTTTAGGTGGCAAAGAATTACTGGCTCTTCAATCACAGTGGTTTTGTTGTATTTGCATAAAGTACAGCTATTTCAGACTCCATTTTTGTGACAGCCTACAGCTTCCTGCTTATCGTAGCTTAGCAGAAGGTGGCTGAATATATTCACATGCTGTAGAGAACAGAACTTAGTGAGATAAGTCTGGGGAGTTGAGAATATCATTGGATTGTGCTAAATAGGGTAACAAAGCTAACATCCACAGGTTTCCTTTTGATTTTTCTTCCGTATCTGGGATTGTAAGGGGGAAGATTAAAGATTAATTTCCACATGCATTTTTCATTTAAGCGTGAGGCAAAATGTTCACTCTTGCGAATCTAAAAAATGTGCTGCAGTAAAATACTTGTCTACATCTTGCTATTGGCCACCTATTGCTGTAAATAATTCAGATTTTCTTAGTTGGTAAAAGATCAGATGGCTGAGGAAAGAGTAATTCAACAGCAGACAACTGCATGTTTCCTGAGCATAGTAAATAAAGCCACAGTTTATTTACTGTCTTCCTTTCATACCTTTGACTTTAAAATCTTTCTGTGGACAGATTCTGATCGAATTAAAATGGAAGGCATAGAAGCAAAAAAAGAAATTGAGATAAGTGAGAAGTGTGACTGTGGTGCATGGACTATGGAGACATTTAATCTAGCAGAGGAAACAGAAAGGTATGAAAAACACAAGGATGATAGCAGCATATATCATTTTGAATTACCAAGATTTAGAAAAATGGTTCCAATACATCACAACAAGATCCAGAGCTTGTAGTAAATCAGCTGTTGTAAGAACCGTGATCACTGTGACTGTTCTGTTGGAAAATGTGTAGTATTAAAAATGGCAGCATGCATTTAAGCTCTTTCATTCAACAGGGCTCACTCTACTCTTGATGACGCTTTAGAAAGAGTTCTCTGTGCTGTTCCTCCAGATGAGCAAATTGAAGAACGACAACAAGATGAGGAAATTCAGGGATATGCTCTTGGGTTAGCTGCTAACTGCTACATTATTCATAACTTTATGTTCTGTGTTCAGACCTATGATGGGCTTGTCAGAAAATGGGCTGTTGCTCTTCAGGAAATAATGCATCGAGGAAGTCTGCTTGGAGGCATCCATCAGAACTTTCAGTACTAAACTGAGAGAGAAAAGAGTGTTTTGTTAAGAGAATTTCCTATTAGGTAGAAAGCAACTATTTCCAATCAGCCTGGAAGGCAGTGCATCATCTTCACAGAAATTGGAGAAAATTTGCCAGATAAGTAGATAATTTTTTTTTCCAAAGGTGGTGAGAGGAATGCATGTGAAGAGAATAGAATCATGAAAGCTCTTTAGGGAGAAAGAAGACCAAAACACTTTGAAGAGTTTGGGAAGGCCAAACTGCCTTGGAATATAGGAAGAAATGAAGAAAATGGCAAACACCATATCTGTATCACTTTAAGAACTCAAACATGAGAGCTTTAAACTCTGAACAGCTCCATGGTAAATGCACTGAGTGATCATAAGTCATTCCTAACATATATCTTCCTAAAGAACACAAGATAGTCTACTGTTAGCATCAGGATTTATTTATTTTTAAGGCAAATCTCATGACAGCCAGGAGAATCTCGCTGATAGGGCAGTGTGATTGCTGCAGTCTGTGTTTTCGTATTTCTCTCTATATATCTATTCATAAATGGCTCTGTCCAAAGCCCATTCACACAGTCAAACCACATTTGTGTAAAGCGTGCAGGGAATCACTGGAGTCTGCTTATGGCTGTAAAGGTAAAGCATACCTACAGATTTAATGGGAAGAGAATGCGTTAAGGTTGGGTCAGATGCCCATTACAGCCCAGGGCAAAAACAAAAAAGCTTCTTGTATCTCCTGGCTTTTGTTCTGGTACACTGTATTCATCCTATCTAAAAGAAAATACAGAAAATGAGGTGATATGTAAATCTCTGTCATTTAAGGGCTGCGAGCCTGAGAGATCCACGAGGTGTTGGAAGGAAGAAGGGAGCAGAGGAAGGTGGAGCCAGGGCACGCAGCAATGAGGCAGATGGCTGTGCTGGGAGTTCAGAAGGTCCTCTTCATCTGTAAAGCTCCTGGGTGCTGTACTGCACAGTATCTCATTTATTTCGTTCTTAGCACTGAATTTGCCAAGCATGCACAGTGTAGCCTTTTGCTTTTCCTCATTTTTTCTGTCTGGGTATTGCTTCTACCCCATGGTTTTGAAAGAGAGGAAGCTGCTGCAGACCTGAGCTCTCCAGAGATGCTTGGAAACTTTTGTTTTTTAAATCACTTTAGACTGACAGTGCTCTGGAATGCTTGCAGAGAGTATGTTTCATTGTGAGAGTGCAGTTTCCTCTACTAACCTCCACTGAAGGACAGTTCACATTACTGCACCTGTGTCCCATGTAGTCCTTGGCCCCTCTGGCTTAGGCACCTAAAGGCTTCACATTGTAAGCACCTTGCTCTGTTACCACCCTCATTTGGTATGTACCTGTGTGGCATGTGCTAATGCCATCAGGTCCCTAAAACAGCTGCCTCAGTCTAGTTTCTCTCTCAGGCTTTTCTCTAATAGAAACTGGAAGCAGGGAGGAAGACTCAAATGAAAGGGCTTTCTATTCTGTGTCAGAGGTGAAGTCATTCTACACAGTTGGCAGCTGAGGCATCTTTCTGCAAACAGATTTCTGATTGCAGGTGAAACTTCACAGGTCTAGCCAAAAGAATCTGCAGTGCTGGTGAAACCCGAGCTTTCTCTCTGAAGGGTGTGACTGTGTTTTGAGCTGAATTGAAATGTGCTTTTAAAATTGTATTATCTATTTTTATTTTTTAAGGCAAGCACTCTGAAGGTCAGAAATTCCGCTTACGGGGACAGCAGTCTGCAACTTCTCCATTCAGGTGAGCACCTCTGTGACTTAAACTGGGCTTCTCACAGAGATCTCTGTGTCCTCTGGCCCTGTGAGATCCATTCTTCTTTTCCATGCCCAGGAGGGGTGCAGTATGAAGTCCCATTCTCTTCCACACTTGATCTGATACAAGTAAAAAAAAAGACCCCACAACTGTGTGACTTTTCTCACTGTCTCCTTTTTTTCCTACAGGGTAATTGTTTTGGATCAGAACGGTTCTCCTGCGTGATTAGAATGGATAGTGAATACATCTTAGTGCATCAGCTGCTTGCTGCTGCTGGTACAGTATTCAGCCTGTGAACTGCAGCCCTTTTTTGGTCGCAAAGACTTCTGATGCTCAGACTTCTTTTATCTGCAGCAGCAAGTACTAAAAGAAATCGCAGTGCTTTACTTTATAGTGCATTTTATACTGTTTTTTGCCACTGTTTTATATCAGTTATACTGCAAAGGTGATCTGTGTTCTGAATAGAACAACCTCAGTGAGCTGGCTGTTTGTTTTTCTGTATGCACACTTTCATAAGCAAAATAATTTTTTGCTCTTTTGCATTACACAGTTTTCAGTGTTACAGACAAAATGACTGTAATTCTGTGAACTGCTGTTACTGCTCAGACTCATCTAATTTTTCCTCGCTGGAGTGTGGAGTGCTGTGTTGCAGCCCACGTGGTGTATGTTTTTCCTTGCTCATTAAATTTAACAAGGGTAATTTCTTGTTTTCTCTTCTCTTAGTGCTTTTGTGATCTAGTGTTGAACTGATTTGACTGATAAAGGGGATTAATTGCTGTGCAGAAAGTTAATGAGAAAAAAGCAGTGTTCTTTCAGAGATACAACTGCACCAATATTTTCCCTGTCAGCATTCAACAAGAATGCAGAAAAGTTAGCAATACTGAGATAGCTGTTGTTTAATTAAACCAGGTTTCATGGTCCAAAAAAGGTCCCTGGGAAGTAACTGACTTCTGGGTCAGGCTTTTGATGGGCACAGCGAGTTCATGTTTAACTGTTCTTGTGATTATCTCTGTCCAGGTGCAGGATGTGTGAGGATTGTCCTTATCTCTGTTGAACACAGTGCAGTTCTATGGCATTCTTACAGTTTTGTGTCCCATGTGTTTCTCTTCCATCCTTGATCAAGGTGGGAAATTTTGCCTATCTGTAACTGTTAATTTGGTTTAATGACACTAATAAAAATGTCTAAGCTTAATGTGCTCCCACGTGATTATTCTTCTGTTTTTTTTTACTTGTTACTATTACTCCCTATCATCAAGTTATGTATTCAACTGAGGTGGTACTGAGGGAGATGCTGCAAATGGGGGAACTTCCTTCAGAAGAAATCAAGAGAAAGCAGACGTCTGATCCTTTCAGGCAAGCCCTGTGGTGATGGGTCAAAAGGACCAGCAGAAGGAGGTGCATGGGGTAAGAGCTGTGTCAGTGCACAGAAATAGTGTGCAGTGCCTCAGACAGTGCCATGTGCAAGTTGAGTGTTTTCTAATCTGGGCTCAGGTCAGCTGTAGTTTGCTGCACGTGTAGGGGGCTCTGCGTCCTCACTGCAGGCAGTGGAACATCATCCTCTTGATACACAAAGTGCTGCAACAAGACCTCGCTCTGCACAGACAGGGGCTGTGGGGAGCCTTGTGTGGCAGCAAGGAACATACATTAGTGACAAAAGCATGCAGAAGTTAAATCATGTTTGCTGTGTGATCCTGCCCTTGTTACCTGTAGCTGAGAAGTGCCTGAGGACCATTACCTCTTGCTTTGGACAATGTTTGTGCAGTGTCTTTGCGTACGAATTAAAGAAAGAACAGCTAAAACTTGCTGGTCTGCAGCAGAGCAGAGGAGTGGAGCAAGCACACGTGAGTTTTAATGCACATAATTGAGATCACTTTGGTTTGCAACATGTGAAATTTTCCTTAGCTCCTTGGATACTTTTTTTTCTGCTTTATCTATCAAACCAAATGGTGAGCAGACTGTGAACCATTTTCCTATCTTTTTTTAATCTTAATGTGGAGAATTTTTATTTCTGTTGCTAGAGAACCTTTCTAGCAGTCCATAGCCTGTCTGCTCTCCTTATCAAGACCGGAACAGAGCAGTTGGAGATTTTGGTTGTTAAGCTGCTTGTACTTTTCCAGAATTAAGTTTAGCGTGAATGTAAATCATCCTAATAACATAAAGCATGGACACAAAAGCTGTAATTAACAGGAAGCATAAAACAAGGACCAACGGAAGACAGCAGAAAAGATCAGAGGCGGCACCATCTAATGCTGCTTTTCAGCTTCCCTGAGAACGAGAGGCCAATTAATTAAATTAAAACAGGGATACTGAGCTGTTCTGATGTCGCTCTGAGGCACCAGCAGGGAGGTTTCCCAGGGGGAAGCTGGGATGGGAACTGGTGAGGATGGGTGCCCTGTCTCCCTGCTGCTGTGGCTTTAGAGGCCCTTGCAGAGCCCTGCAGGGAGTTGATCAAGTGAAGGCATGCAAGGACAAAAGCAGGCGCTCGTCCCGTGAGCACTGGCTGTGTCCTCAGCTCCTGTGGACTTGTCATCGTGCTGGACTTGGCTTTCTTTGGATGTGGTTTTGTTGGTTATGGTTTTGTTTCGAAGCTGAAACTCGGGGAGGAAAAGCCTGTGTACCCAAAATCTCACTGTATGCTGGTCCAAATTGCCTTTCTCTCTGATTTTTATCAAGATGCAGACTGCATACTGGTGGGGGAATATCGTGCAGCTGTTCCCTTTGCTTCCCTCTAACCCCACCATGTGTTTGCTGCCATGGGTGAGCAGTGCTTTTCAGATTCCCAGCACGGTGATCCTAGCACAGCATCCTAGCAGCTGTGGAAGCCCATGCAGGTTTTTGGGGTTTTATTTCTTCTATTCTGAAAAGCATTGGAATCTTTTGCTTCCTGTTAACACTTCAGCCGTGTGGGCAGGGGCTCTGCTCCACTTTGTCCTTGTGATCCCAGAGCCTTGCTGGGAGATCAGTGACCTTTCCTTACTGCCTTAAATATAAATAAATACCTTTGTATCTAACTTGCCATGTTGATCTTCCCCTTTGTGAGTGTCTGTGGCGCTTGCTATGAGAGCAGTTGTGCCAGCTGTAATAGCTGGAGGTGAAATTTTCTGTAGGACCCTCTGCCAGCTGGTAAAGCAGATGAAGGTGAGCTACTAAGTTTTTGCTACTGTTTATTAATGCAGTCTGCACCTAAACATACCTGGTTGACTCCTGTACTGTGACTTTAGGATGCATAGCAAGCTCAGACAATGCAAATGCTATGCCAGCCCAACCCAGGCCATGAGATCCATGTCCTTACCTGTCAGGGAGAACATGAAGCCCTCCAGCTCACACGTGTTCCCGCTGAACACAAAGAAGCTGTTGGTGTTGGAGAGGCTGTTGAAGCTGCGCCCAGCGTCACCAGCAGCTCAGCCACGGCCCAGTTCACCAGGATGCGATTCAATGGGAAGCGGAGCTTCTTGTAGCAGATGGACACCACGATGACCAGCTTGTTCACTGCCGGGGCACAGGCGACCACTGTGCCCATCAGCACAGCCCTCCCCACATATGTGCTCCGTAGGGCCACTGGGGGCCATCAAAAGGCCCTGGGGTCCCATTGGGAGGTGCCTGGGAGCTGTTGGAGGACATCGGTGCTTCTGCAGCGCAGCACGTGTTGACCCTTCCCAAAAGCCGCCTCTTTATAAAGCCCCAGAGAGGAGCTTTGTGTTGAAACACCTTAAGCTTTTTCTTTTTAAATCTGAATAACTCACCCTCCTTGTTTTTTTTTTTTGTTTTTTGTTTTAAATAATCAGCTCTTTATTCCGGAGGGGATAAAGGGTGACTTAAGCCAACAACCTGCTGCCTGCCTTCTGCCTCATTTAATCAAGTAAATAGGTTTGGTTACGTGAGCACTGCTGTGACAGTGCAGCCCGGTGCTGTGGGCACAGTGTGGGGTGATGGTGGTGGGGGGAGCCCTATAGGCCATAGCTGTAAAGCCATGCCATAAACATGCTGTATACTGTTGATATAACCACACTGCCTTTGATATAGAGTACAAATAGATAGTATAAATATATAAGTATATATCCACTACTGCAAATACATAAAGCCATATATTTATAGCTCTATATATACAGTGTGGACAGGGCCGGGGTGATAAGTCTGCTCCTTCACAATGTCTGCAATGGAACAATTCATGCAGAATGTGGTCTGAATGCAGCACAGGGCATTGCATGGCTCATCCCCAGTGGCCTTCTGCTCATGCAGCACCTCTGAGCGATGCAACCTTAATGGGAACTTAGAGGTTTGGTACCAAATCCTCCCTTGCCTAATCCCTCACCCTGAAATCCCCTCTGGGGCTGTGGCCAGCAGAAAGGAGCAGGCGGTGCAGAATGATCCCCATGCACTGGTTTAGAAGCATTAGGTGGTACGGCCAAGGCGAGACTCATAGGCTGCACCTCGTTTTTTCTCTTTTTTCCCCTTTTTATTTTGGGTTCTCGTTATAAATATTAACAAATCTGACAAAAAGTACACAGAGAGATAATACTGAAATACAAAATTCCTTTAGGATGCAGGTAAGGACGATTTCTGCAGCCTTCACATGGTAGCAAAACATCGGTATCAAACATATCACAAGGCGGGCGCGACGACCACCGCTCTGCATGCAGCTGGGATGCACGGACAGACTGCTTAGAAAAGGCTTCGGTACAAAGTGAGGAACCCCACGTGCCACAGTGGGATGTGCTCCATCCCATCGCTTCTTGACGGCCTTTCCATGAGCTCCCACACCCCAAAATCAGCCCCGGCAGCATGGGGCTGGAGCACCAGGAGCATCCTCATGGGCATGCTGCTGGCATCCCAGTGAAATCCATGCATATCTGTAGAATGCATTACAAATATGAAGTTATTAAAAAAGACCCTATGAACGTTTTTCTCCCCTCCCCCCCCAACCCCAATATCAAACATGGTGTAACGCTATCGGAACTTGGAAAAGTCAACAGAGGTTTCCAGAGATCTGATTGCTTTCAGAAAGGAAGTCGTCGACACCAACGCGCACACGGCTACACGGATCTGAAGCTGGAGGGAAGAGATCGAGACCGGACGGCACAGCAGATCCTCCGAAGGAACTGTGGTTTATAGGCTTCTGATATTCCTGCCAAGGTGCAGCATTTGGCAGAGTTCTCACCCGCCGGTGCCTCGTTGGGTTCTGTGTGCTCAGAGGCTCCGGGGAAGGGTTTGCAGGTGGAGCAGGAGGGAGCAGGAGCCGTTCCTGCTTTATTCCTCGTGGCAGATCCCAGGGAGGCCGAGCTGCGTTGTCAGAGAGGGTGAGCACAAACTGTCTGGAAGAAAAGCCAACAGCCTTCCCATGTTACCAGAGAACGCAATGGTTCCGACGGAGGAGCTTTAAATGCATAAAAGACTGTTTAGGCCCAGACCACAAAGACTGACAAACCACCAGGAACGGGGCACGGCGGCCTCAGTAAAACAGTCCCATGTTTTAGTGATGCCTTTTGCTCGTAGTAGATACACAAACGAAGACTGATGCATTCATTTTTGCCACTGAATTGCAAGGCAGCGAGAAGGTAAGTCAGTACAGCGACGAGTTCGGGAGAGGAGTCAGACCTGTGTGCATGCAGGTGTGTGCTGAGTGCGTGCGTGTGCACGTGTGTGCAAGCACGTGGTTGTGCACGTGTGTGCGTGTGTGTGCACGCGTGTGCATGCCTGTGGGTGTGTGTAAGGTGCACAGAGGCGTTCTGGAAAAGCTGCAGGGGATGGGACCCATTGAGCAGAGCACGTGGCCTCTGCCTCGCTCCCTGGGAAGCGCTCCCCTCTCCAGCACGGAGCTGTGCCCTGCAGCCCTGTGAGCCCAGCAGTGCGGGGTGCTCAGTCGCTGAGGACGGCCCCCGGCAGCTCGTTTGTCAGCGTGTGCCAGCGCTCGATTTTCTTGTCCTTGTTCTTCAGGCAGTCAAACCAGTGCTTCAGCCGCTCGCCTTTGGCGTTGATCCCTAGCACGACTCCACCTTGAGAGAGACAGAGAGGAGAGGTGGGTGTGCAACGGGACGCGTTGGGGCACAGCAGGACACAGCCATGCCAGCCCTCCTCAAGGCCCCCGCTCGCAGGTCCCATTTGCAGTTGTGGCAGCGGAGCTATCGGGCTCCTGTTAGCAATACATCACCACAGCTGCTCACAGCATCGCTTCGGTGGTACTTTGAAGCCCAGACATCCAACAGAGACAAATGAAACCTCCCTGTTCAATTGGATTTTTTTTTTTTTTCCAGGAAAAATAATCTGGAAGCGAGGAGGGGGGGATGAGCTGCTGCTGCCTGCTTGGGTTGGGGAGAGGAGGCTCAGATGCACAAGAGGAGGAAAGCAGAGCAGAAAAGCAGCAGGAAGGCATGTAGGGATGGAGCACAAAGCAGGAGGATGGAGAAGGGCAGCAGATGAAAAAGGAGCAGGCATATGAGATGGAGATTAAAAAAAATGAGTGTGAGAAGAGAAAAGGTAGTGGGAAAAGGAGAGAAACCTCAGATGGAGAAAGGAAAGAGGGAGAAGTGAAGCATGAAAGAAGCAGCTGGGACGGAGGGACACAAGGTGCAAGGGGGGTAAAGTGGAGAGCAGCACGGCACAGAGGGCAGCAGGAGCACAAAGAGAAGGAAAAGGAAGGTGTTGAGCGAGGGGGAAGAGATGGGACAGCTTCTCCATTGGGAGAAAAGCCAGGGGAGAAATCGGGAAAGGAGAGAAAAACAAGGAATGTTTGTTCTCCACAACAGCTGTAAGACATATGGTGCTCCAAGGGGCCCCGCTCACCTATGAAGTCATTTGATTTCCCGATGTCGTAGTCCCACACGGTGACTTCTAATGTCTTTTTGGCCAGGTCACCATGCTTTATCTCATAGCAGAACTCCTGCAGGGAGACCACGAGTGCTCAGCCTGAACCCACACAGAGCCCAGTGCACGGAGCTCACCTCCATCCCTTCCCACAGTGACCAAGTTGGTTTATTTTTCCCTTTCACTCACAGCACTGAGAAAAGCCCATTGGGTGAGAAGCACAGACCCACCTCGTTAAATTCAGGGTTCAGCGTCTTCTTCTTCACTGCCGTCTTATGCTTTGACTTCTTGTCCTCATCTGGCTTCAAATAACTGCAAGGAAACGGCTCGCCACATCAGCACGCAGCCGCAGAGCCAGCAGGCAGCAGGAGCATCCTCCCCATTGCTGTGCCCCGGCTCTGTTCCCATGCTTGCACCACTTTCCACCTCTTGCTCATCATTAAAAATCAGGGTTTGCACTGAGAAACATCTCTTGTCTGCCTGCTCAGCTTCCTCCCCTGCAGACACGATCTATGTCCAAAATACCATGAAAACTGAGGACTCATTCTTTTGCTTTAGGGATTGAACTGTTCCTCTGAGCATTCAGAAAAGAAGGGGTGGGTTTTTATATAAATGTCTCCACTCCTGAACAGCAATTAAAGAATCTGGAAGCATTCTGCCAACAGACTCCACCACTGAACTCCCACAGGCTGCATTTTATCTCGGTAGCATCATCCCAACAAACACCATCCCTGTAAGTGCTGAATTTTGGGCCAGAGACACGGGGAACAGCGACAAGGGGTGAGGGATGGGTGTGGGTTGCATCCCTTAATGAGATCACTTAATTTTCACTCAGGGGAGGGGCAGGGTGGGGTGCACTGCCAGCATCACTCACGTCTTGACATAGGGGTCTGAGTATCCATTGGCATCCATGGCAGCCAGGTGGGCGCAGCGGATGATGCCCACCAGCAGGCCCTGCTTCTGTGAGCTGTACTTGAGGGAGATGAGGATCCGGCCGCGCTCCTCCAGCGACTTGTCCTCTGTTTTGTCTATCTGGGGAAGGAATGAGCCCAGTCTGGGGCCGCTCGCCCACTCCATGAGCAAGCACCGCCTTCAAAACCAGCCCCAGTGCTGTTTGCAATGCGCTTTTGGTGCCACGCAGCCCCATGGGGACGTCGCTGTGACCCCTCCCACTCACCGGCAGCTGCTTCTCCAGGCAGATGCTGAAGTTTTTGGTCTGGTTGGGCTTCAGCTTCTTCAGTGGGATCCGCGTCTCCCCGATGAACTCGTTGTGGCGGAACTTGTCCTCATCACAGACAGAAATCCTGGGGACACAGGGCAGCATGAGCACAGCACAGCTATCTCTGTGTCCCTGCTGCTGGGGACACCACCGGGGGTCCCTCTGCTTCCTCTCCCACCAACGTTTCCCTGCTCTTGGCCTTAACAGTTTTTGGTAAATGGGATTTTTTTTGGGAGAGGGAAGCTTAATTACAGATAAATAGTGCCCTCCAATCCCATGTCAGTGGAACAAATGTCACACTGTGGTTTATCCACGGGTGGAGCATCTCTCCATGGATGGTTTTATCCATGGGTAGGTGATCTCTTCATGGGAGTTTTATCCACGGGTGGAGGATCTCTCTGTTGGTGGTTTATCAATGGGTAGTTTATCCACGAGTGGTTTCTCCATGGTTGGTTTCTTCAGGGATGATTTATCCATGGATGGTTTCTCCATGGAAGGTTTATGTGTGGGCTGTTTATCCATGGGTGGTTTCACTATGGATAGGTGGTTCATCCACTGCCAATTTGACCACCAGAGGACAAGGACCTGGAGAGGTGCTGTGAGGGATGGCTCAGCAGTGCTGCACAGGGAGCACCAGGCAAGGGGAGAGGGCAGAGGGAGAGGGGTTGGGAAAAAAGGCCAAGGGTTTTCCCCATGGGGAAAGCACTCTCCAGAAAACCATCACCAAATGCAGCGTTACTATAGATACTCCTGGAGAAAAACACCCCACCAAACAGCCGAATTCTCAAAGAGAATCTGAAATGCAGGCTCGCTATTTCTTATTCTACTTCCCCCTCTCTTTCTTTCAGAGACCCAAACCAGCAGAGGAGCAGCAGTAACTCCATACAAGAGGCAATCACCTGTGTGTGTAGGGAGAGAGCACTGAGTGCAGAGCCAGCTCTGCTCTTACACCAGGCCAATGCAGATTTTACCTTCTGATAATGTGAGTAACACGTTCCCCTGCCCCGCACCCTCCTGGCTGCCTCCCCAAAGCAACCAGAGGAACCAAGGCAGCCTGCTGCTCTGCCAGCCCCAGCCCTGGCTCTTCTCTATTGAACCACATTGGGCTGGTGGTGCCTTGCCCCATCAGTGCCGAAATGTGAGTCAGATGAGTGCAGCTCCAAACCCAGCCCTGCCCTTGGAAATGGGCGTAATGCAATTACACCAGCTTGAATTTTATTACAAGGAATCGTTGTGATGGAATTCATATACCCTGGGTTAGAAAATCAGCTCTATGACAAACAGAGAATCCAGCAGCCGCCCTCGCTCCCTGCGTGAGCCCTTGAACGGGAACATCACCCCCATGCCTCTCCCTCCAACACAACTGGCTTCCTCATGCTCTGACACCTCCCAGCGGGGGTTCTGGGCTGTGGGAGCACTGTGATGGGGTACTGGATGCCCACGAACATCCCCACTCGCTGCCCTCCCACTGCTCCAGCCCTGACTCACTGCAGCTCCGGCTGCCCCACTGCTGACTCACGGCATCAGCCCGCATAAGGAGCGGCTCCGGCCTTATTGCTGGTGCAGAAAGAGGAGGATGAGGACAGTGAGGAACTCATCTGGGGCCCCCCATCCTTTTCTGCATGCACAGAGCAGGCAGCGGATGCCAGAGATGTCTCTAAGATCCCGTGCGGTCCCTATAGCAACTTGCATAGCTCTCAGCGGATGTGCAGGACGTAGATGATGCTTACATGTCATAAAGAACATGGGAAGAGACAGCGGCCTGGGACTGCCCAGCTCTCCCTGGAACAAAGTGAGGTTTCATTGCTGGGCTCCGTCCCAAAAGCTCTGCATCTGAGCGCACAAAGCACAGCAGTGCAGTGCCCGCATGGCTCCAGCACAGAGCAATCTGGGACCCCACGGCCCAGGGAGCTGTGCTGTGCCTTTCGGACCTGATCAAATACTATTGTCTGAATAATATCTGTAATGAGTCATGATGTTTGTCAAACACATGATTAAACAAAGAATTCCTGGCATTCGCGGGCACGCTGAGCAGCACATGAATAATGCATCGCTCTGCCAATATATCTAGATATGAATAATCAGATCCTGTCCCTGGCCAGCTCTGGTATTTATTACCAATGTGATCTATTTACTGCCTATTACACTGGATTATTTAAATGTAGGTGATCGAATTCTGCCCACATTCATGTCCCTATTGGTTTCCCATGCCCCTTGCATGCCCCCCAGCCTCATAGAGCAGGCAGCCCTGCTGCTCGGGCTGGGTCTGGATGCAGGGACTTCGCTTGATGAATGGATGAGACCTTTCAAGATCCTCCCACCTGCTGCATTTCCTGAAACCCGAAGGATGGAGGAGTTTGAGGGGGCTGCTTCATTAACAAAATGCTGCTTGCTCATCACTTGTATATCACTGCTGCACCGCAGGGCCACATTTGGTGCTGGGTTCCCAGCCAGGAGCAGCTCAGCTGGGCAGGGAACACTGAGAGCCCTTTTGCAGCCCTGAAGCCCTGTGCTCCCTGGGCATCTTGAAGGCAAAGACTGCAGTGCTCTGATCTACACTGTTGTTTTCCCATGGGAGGGATTCCACAATCACAGCTCTGCCCCTCTGCAGCCCAGCACCAATAATGTGCCTGGAGCCCCTCGGCCCCATCCCATCAGAGCTGCCCCCCAGGCACATCTGCCTCCATATCCATTGGGAGCTGCAATGCGCGCCTTCTGCCCGACCAAACATCGCTTCCTCCAAAAAGCAGGAAATCTGAGAGAGGAGTTACACCAAAAGCTGCACTTTCTACCTCGTGCCTTGTTTGTAAGGAGCTGCATCTCATCTGAGCGTGCCTCAGGATAAAGAAAATCTCCTTCACCAGTACCTGCTGCTGTGAAGGTGGAGAAGAAAAAAGAGGAGGATGGGAAACTGCTCTTGGGGAAATGAAAAGCAGTCAAATTTTGAGTGCTGGCTCCTTCATGCAAGATTAGGAATGGAGCCATGGGAGCCCAAAGCTTTGTATCAGCAGAGGAGCAGCCCATGCAGTGCAGCAGCCCTGGCCAGTATGCTTCTTCTACCCTAACGCCGTTCTTCTCCAGAGCCACTTGCAGGCAAAGCAAAAGCTCCACTGCTTCTCTCTGTTCTCCTGGCACAAAAACCATCCCAGGGTGGAGCTGTGACCACAGGAGCCTGCAGGAAGGGACACCACAGCACCGGGCACAGCATCACTGCATCAGCCATGTAGGGAGCCAGCACTGCGAGGCGTGGGTCGGGGCTTTGGGCTCCCTGCTGCATTTCAGCACATATCTCAGCAAACATCTCCCCCAAACTGATTTCCACGCTTGAGAGGCTGCAAACTTCAAAGCCCGCAGTGGAAAAAAATAAAAAAAAATCCCCACCACTAATAATAATAAACCAGAGGCTTTCCAGCCCGGCGAGCCTGCGGCACTTTCAGCATGACTAATATTTTCCATGTGAAATAATAACCCGCGGTGCTGAATTCCTCATCTGCACACACACTGTGACAACAGGTGGGCTCTGCTCCCCCAGCAGGGCTGCGCTGAGGGCACGGGGGAAACCATCAGCTCCAGGGGCAGCTTTGGAGCAGCAGGGCCGGGTTCTGGCTGCAGGGTGGATCCATGATGTGATGGGGCCAGGATATGACAGCCTGTCTGCATACGGATCCCCATCTCCCAGCCTGCATGGGATGCTCTCCCAGCACTGTGATGCCGTGCGATGCTGAGCACACGGGGACCAAACCTCAACCAGAGATGATGAGAAATATGTCCGAACGCACGTCTCTTATCGCAACGGTTCACTGCTCCATCCCAAAAGCTGGGACAAGAGGAACCCATGTCTCCAAAGGGGAATGATGGGTGGTGCAGGGAGAGGTGCCGGGGGTCCCCAAGGCCCTACCGCAGCGTTTTGCGGATCATGTCCTCGTCGGTGATGCCGTAGTAGGTGAGGGTCTCATTCCAGGTGGGGTTCAGAGTGTTGCGCAGCGTTTTGGTCCGCAGCTTATTTGCCTGGAAAAGTGATGGAGGTGAGTGGGAGCCGGGCAGCCCCACGGGGAGCCCCCCATCCTCTCCCAAAGCGCCCAGCCCTGCATCCCCCCTGCTGGTGCTCAGGCAGCGGAGCCTTGGCAGAGGCAGCGAGAGCAGGGATTGCATTTATACAGCAGGAGCAAGAGGGGGGTGGGGAAAAAAAATACCACGTCTTTTCAGGTTCATTAAAAAAGACCAATTTGCAGTTCTGGCTGGTACTTTGCATTCCCGCTTCCAGCACAGCTCCCAACCCTGGCTGACTCAAAATAAGAACTGTAAATAACTTCCTTCTAATGCGTTCTGTTAGCGGGGGGAACACTTCCCAGCACTGCAGCCCTGCAGGCGCAGCCACGAGCGTGGGACCCCCACTTTGGGGGCGGGGGAGAGGAAAAACAGACCTTGAGCCTTCGCCCTGGAGTGGAGGGGTGATACTCAGCCCTGGTGTGTGTGCCTTCACCCCTCTGCATGGCCCCAGTGCTGCCCAGCCCCCCTAAGCTGTGTGCCTACAAGAAGGGGAGCGGCGCGCAATGGCAGCGCTGACAGCTCTCCTATTTCCCACGGAACTCAGAATGTGGTTAAAAACTCCCCCTGCTGCCCTGAACGTTATGAATTAATTCGGCTGAACCGTAACGAGTAAACACGCCTCCCCCCAAAAGGTCTTTCCTTCGGTGGTAAACTGAGAGCGTAATTAATATTCATCACACATACATTTAGCATTTAAATTCCGCATCCCCTTCAGTTACACCGCGCTCTCACTACACATCAATATCTTTAATTACTCTTCTCTCCAGCAAGCACTGAACTTCAGGAGATGGAAATATTTCCCTTACGAGTGATACCACGCGTTATTATGATCGGAGGGGCTCAACATGCCAAAGAAGAAAGACAAAACCAAAGCAAAGCAGAACCGGTTTGCTCCCAGCGGGGAAACCCTCACTGCTCCAAGAGGGAAAGTGATGGGGAGGAAGGGAGAAATGAGTGTGTCTCACCTTGCTGGCCCCGGGAAGCAAGTGCAGCTTGACATAGGGGTCGGCCAAACCGTTGTGATCCATTGGCTTCAGGCCCTGGGGGAGAGAGTGAAGAACAGGGTTAGAGCAGCTAACAATCCCCAAACCTGTTTGTGGCTATGCTGCCGCTCCCTGCCCTCACTGGAGTGGCACAGCCATGGCACGGTCACAGAGCCAACTGGTGATGGGTTTTGTGTGTGGCTTCCAAGCAACCACGGGGCTGAAAGCGATGGCAGGGCAATGCCCCAAACCTGCACAAAGCCAATTCCACAGTGAAGAGGAGCAATTGCAGGAGCACAACAAACAGAGCTTCTGTTCCCAGGTGGGAATCACAGCCCTAGAAATGCCCCCAGGCTGTGTGGGAGATTTGCAGGGCTGTTTCATGGCTGCAGCTGGCAGAACTGTGCCCCTACGGCAGTGTGGGATGAGAGCGCAAGCAGGGGTTGCTTTAGGATGGGCCAGAGTGAGGAGATGGGTAAATGGCTGCATGCTCCATGTGCATGGGACAGCACTTCCAGCCCCAGCTGGGCTCCATCTGCAACTTGTTGAGCCTGGGGCCTCAGGGACCATGTGCTGACTTCAGGGAGGGCTCTGCCCTGCAACCAAATGGTGCCCAGCAAAGAGGATTTGGCTTCTCACCCAGAGCCAGCAGGATAAAAATATCAGCAGTGAATGTAGGCTGCATGGCTCTGCCTCAACAGCACCACAGCTCGCATCACCTCCCCAGCACTGCCATGGGGAGCACAGGGAGAACGGAGCTCCATGGGCACTCATGGCACACAGGGATGGCCCCAGCACGGGTTCAGAGCTTGATTTGGGGCTCAGCACCTCATTTGGGGGCTCAGTGCTCATTCGCAGCAGAGAGAAGTGAGTGCTGCCTGCAGGCTCCATGCCCCACCTGCCCTGATGCTGCACGGCAAATGAAATCATAAAGCGAGCAAGCAAATTCCCATGAAAATGGATGGAGAGAGAGAGGCAGCACTGTAATTCACCCATCCATTCAGTTCAATTAAATTACCTTCTGAGGAGGCTATTAAAGGCTTTTTTAACAGATGTGCTATGGAGGATGGAGTGACAGGAGCCTGCAAAATGGGTCCCAACGCCATGTCCAACTCCGTGAGAGGTTGGGAGTAATATGAGGACCCCCAGGGGTGACAATGCCATCATCCTCACTGCACGGAAAGCCATAAAACTGCTCTGAGAGAGCCGAGGGATGATCAGTGGCAAGGCAGGTATCCCTGTGCCCTGTTAGGGAAACTGAGGCACAAAGAGACCCATCAGGGCAACCCCTGGAAGGATGAGCCCTGAGCTCCTGCTCAGCACAGCGCTTTATGGCTGCAGAGCAGAAAAGGGCCATTGGGCCACAGCTGGTTGAGTTTAATCCAGGTTGGTGCCTTCAAGAGCTCATGAACCCCCTCCACAGCAATAACGGGACTCAGGACTAGAGAAGCAGGATGAACGAAAGGAAAAGGGAGGACTGTCTGGGGGGCGGTGGGCTAAAGAAGGAAGACAAATGTTGGAGCAGCACAGCCCAGCCCAGAGCAATGCGTGTCCCAGCACCACCCTACAGCTCTGCAGCTCCTGCCCAGCGCCGCCCGCCGGGGTCCTGGCCCTTACCTTTTTGTAGTCAAGTTTTGGCAGCTTTCCCCAGGCGAGAGATGAAATGAGAGCGAGCAGATGGCGATGTAAATAAAAGAGAAAAATGGGAGAATGAGAGCAGAATGGAAATGAACAGGACTGCAACGCTTGAATGTCAGCGTGGTGGGGGGGTGTCCCGCACAGCGAGCGAGGCGATGCCGCGTGCAGGGTCAGCTGCAGAGCGCACAGAGGGAAACTCAGGGCATGGAAGGGGATCCTGGCCCAGCAGCCCCAGCCCTTCCCAACATCGTGGGGAGGGGTCCCTCGAGGCCCCAGGGCTGAGTGAAGGCCAGGAGTCGAGCAGCGCCTCGAAGCTCCATGCATTCAGAGGCACAGTCAGGACCTCTGCTGGATGTTCTGCTCTGAAATGTGCAAAAAAAAACAAACAAAAAAACCAACAACCCAAAAAACCAACAAAACCAAAAACAACCCACACCAAAACAAAACAAAAAAAACCCACCCTAATTGCTTCAATCATGCAGACGGCAAAGGAGCTGAGGCAGAGCACTTTGTGGCAGTGATTAGCAGCATTTAAAAGAGCCATTTATAAACTGACAGCCGGTCACAGCGTTAAGTCAATAACAACATCGGGTTGGGAGCTTTGCTAAAAAAACCATAAATAGCTGCAGCCAGTGAGGCATGGGGATGGGGCTGGGATGGAGGGGATGCAAGCATGGGATGGAGCTGGAGGAGATGTGGGCATGGGATGGATTTGGGGCTGGAGGGGATGTGGGCATGGGATAGAGTTGGAGCTGGAGGGGATGTGGGCATGGGGAAGGGTTTTGTGCTTCCAGCAGGGCTCTGCTGGCCCCATAATGCCCACTGCAGCTCTGCTCCTCACTCACCCGGTGCGATACGTACCTTGGCCTTGTTGATGGTGCAGTGCAGGGCGTTGTTCTCTTGGTCATAGAGCAAGCTGAAATCCAGTGTCCCCAGAGCAGCTGTGAGAGAGACATGGGGCATTATTCATCAGAGACATCCAGTAAGAGCTGGCTTCTTGCCCAACAAGTGCAAAAGGGGTGAATGAAAGTGTTGGAGGAACGCAGAGCATCGTCCAGTGAGCTCTGGGACAAAGCAGAGGGTCTCTTGGGGGGCTGTTCCCCATTCCTGGGAAAATTTGGGCAGTGTGGCCAAGTCACCATGGGGACACATGCTCAGCGCACCCCGCAGCACTGCTGCCATGCCCCTCATGCGTATTTTCATGCTGACACCTTCAAATTAATGCTCTGCCAACGGGATCTGCTCCCAGTTCCAAACTGTACGTTAAGCCCTGTGAGAATGGAAATGCTTTTGTGATTGAGATGAAAAAACTGCTTTCAAACAGAGCAGTGTTCCCTTACAGCATTGGCAATCTGGCTGCAGCTGTGCATGGGTCCAAGGGAAAGGGCCAGGAGGGCAACGCATGGACCTCAGCAGCAGGATTTGAGAAATTCTCTCCCTTTGTTCTGAGCAAGTCACACCGACAGAAGAAATGGAAAAGCCAGAGCAACCTACCTCCCCGCATCCCCCCCAAAACAAACAAACAACAACCAAAGAAACAGAGCAATTTTGCTTAACACCGAGGCAGGGCTCGCTGCCCAGGAGGTAAATTGCACAAAGCGTGTGGCAGGAAATTGGGGGTTTTCTTCCCATTGCAAAGCTTCTGCAGAGCAGCTCTGCGGGGGTGGTGGCCATGCAGGGGACAGAAAGCTCTGTGCTGCAATTTCACAGCCATCTTCCAGCCCGGCCGCACGCAAGCTACAGGTTCGCTTGCTAGCAAACAGAAATCACTGCTCCTGAGCAAATATTTCTCCTTCAAAGGAAAGCAAATATTCAGAGGGGTTTCTGCCAGAGTAATGCACCTCCTTTGCTCTGGAGTAATTTCATGGCACGTTAGCTGCCAGTTCAGGTAAGTCATAAATCAGTGGAGTTCACCCGCAGGGCTCAGGAAGATGGCAGGGATGCAGGTTGAGGCTGAACACACCACAACTCCTGAGTTCCCCATGGGTTCAGCCCAAGAGATGCTTCCACCCAAACCATCAAATCATCACCACCCGAATCATCCAAAACATCCAAATTATTGCCATCCAAAACGTTGCCACCCAAACCATCACCGCGCAAACCATCCAATCCACCCAAGCCATCACCATCCAAACCAACAAACCATCAAACCATCACCACCCACTCCATCAAACAACCCAATCCATCCACACCACTGCTACCCAAACCAACAGGCCACCAAACCACTCAAACCATCTCCATCCCAACCACCCAATCTATCCAAACCACCCAAAATATCACCACGGAAATCATGGGCTTATGCCAAAATCAAACTTTACAAATCCAGCCTTATGCTTATGGAAGATGAACTCTCCACAATCACAGCTTCTCCATCCCCACCTGCCCTTCAGCCAGCCACAGCACACCCTGGTATTGATCATACAAAGAGGCTCGGATGGCTGGATTTGGTCACTGATAAAAACAAATTAAAGGCTTGGTGTGGAAACTGGATTTGGTCAGGAAATCTTAATGGAGCTCCATGTCCAGCCGTGCAGTCAGTGCTGCAGCAGATGCACGCTTGTGGCTTCACACCACACAATGGGCTTTGGTAGTGCAGGAGCAAGTGAGTTTTGATTCCCAAGAAACCAAGCTGTCTGCTTTTATTGCTTTCATTGCTTTCATTGCTGTTATTGTGGTTATTGCTTTCCCCCTCCCAGCCATCCTCGCAGCTGAGATGGAAGTGGATTGTGCTTTTAATTAGGGGAGCAAGTGCCTAAAAAAGAAAAGGGCAGCAATTAGGCAAGAAGCACTGTTACCAGACATATTTAACTCTGCTGGACTATTCTGAATGCTGCCCTCTAATCACACAGACTGCAAATAAAAAATAATGTAAATAAATGCCTTTGTCAGGCGTTACAAAGGCAGCTTAGCGCTCACCAAACAGCAGGCAGGAGGTATCATTATTATGATGATTATTCTGCTCCAGTGATAAAACAACCATTAGGAGCTGTGAACTCATTAGCAGGTTCTGACCCTCCTTCCCAGCCACGAAGTGGGAGAGATGGATGGGGAGGTGCCACCAACGGTGCTGGGAAGAGAACCAAATCTGACTTGCGTGGAACGTGGCATCTTCCACCATGGACCTTTGGGCATGGGTGGCCCCAGAGCAGCACAGAAACTTGGGCACAGCTCACAGAGGAAGGCAGCGATGGCATTTTCCCTTCCAAAACCAAGGAACCTTCGGCATCGTCGCTGCCATTAGAAAGCCCAGCAAAGCGGCGCGCTGCGAAAAAGTGCAAAAACCCACTACAAGACTAATTAAAAAGAAGCCCAAAGGCCTTAAGTCCCTCTGCTTATCAGCCCTGGTGCTCCCAAGATAATCTGCTCATGGATTTTGTGCCAGGGAGATCAGAGCGGAGCGGTAAAGAGACGGCAGGGGATTGTCTGGATTAGGGCTCCCTTACAGAAGGCGCGGGTTCCGTAACCTTCAAACCAGGTATTTTTTAATGTGCTATAAAAGGTCGGTCCCCATTCTTCCATTGCTTTCATTTCCTTCTGCGACGGAGATCCCTTTAAAGGTCCTGAAAGGCAGCGACTGGTTCTGTGCGCTCACAGCCCCGTGCAAAATGTCAGCAAATGACTCCGCAGGAAGAACAGAAAGGATCTGTGCCATTTCCAAGCTGGGCAGCCATGGATCCCCACGGCCGATGGGTTCTGAGAGCCCCTGGGTTCACCCCTGGCCAACAGCCCACTTTGCCCCCGAATTGACAGCAATCGATATTTCTTCATCCCTGGCGCAGGGAGCTGCTCCTTCCTGGAGCTGTTTGATGGATGCTCATCAGCTCCTCTGTCTTCTCCAGGAGGAGTGTTCAGAGGAACACTTATCTGCTCGGAACAGTTCAGAGATGCAATTATGTTTTACAGCACTAAATGGTCCCTGATGTCAGCAGCAATTAGACTTTCAGCAATTTCAATTTGGAGATGGCCTTCAAATCTCTCCCCCTCTCTCCCTTTAATGAAATACAGCATTGCAATTAATAACACCTCCCCCCCCCCAAAAAAAACCCAATAAACTACTCTCAGTCTTAAACACAGAGATGAAAGATGCGGGAAGCCCCTGGTGCTGGCACTGGCCCTCCCCTGGAGGATGGATGCTGACCAGAGCCCTGTTTGTCCCCATGCTGGGGATGACACCAACACCGCGCATGTGCCATCAGCACCAGCAGAACCACGGCGTGATTTGGGCCGATCCGGGTGGGGGTTGGTTCAGTTTGCTGACTAAAACCTCTTTTGCCCTTCTCCAGATCGAAAAGATGATTCAAAGGTTATAAATGTGTGAAGGAGTTGTGATCAGACGGAAATATGCCCATCCCCACAATGTGTGCCTCTCTTCCATGCATCCTCCCCCCTTCCCCCGTCTCCCGGGTACCCCACAACACCATCATTATCCTGCCCGTCCTTAAGCAGCCAGTAATTAATACCCATGTTATCACTTTGCCTCCTTAATTATAACTTTGTGATAAAGAAGAGCCTTCCTAAATAACCCCAGTGCCCCGACCCCAGCCATGAGCTGCAGACTGAGCCCCCTCACTTCCATGGGGTCGGAGCCATGGCTGGCAGCTGGTGGATGGGCAATGGGATGGGGAGGGATGGCGGCTGTGGCTTGGAGCTGTGGAGGTAACACCAGGCAGGAATACGTGTAGGGAAACCTGGATAAATGCTGCATCTCCCCAACCAGAGGCAGCTCGAATCCTCCCAGCACTGTGACTTCTGTGCTCAGGAAGGGACGCTCACAGGAGATGGGACAAACCCCACACCTCTGTGGGGCTGCACTGGGAGGGAGCATCTCTACGGAGTGATGAATGGAGCATCCCTAAAGAATGATACTTGGCACATCGCAGCCTAGCTGCACCAAAGCAGAGGCCAAGGTGGAGATGTGAGCACTGAAGACACCCACAGAGGTGTCACCTGGGCACTGCAGTGGGCGGCCCATGGGTGCTGTTCCAGCCCCAGCACTGCCATCCCCACACCCCCACCAGGGATGGTGGCTATACCACCACCACCAGCCTGCCGTCCACACTGGGATGGGTCCCAGGGAATGCGCAGTGCAGGTGACTAATGCAGCCCTGAATCACCCGCTGAGGATGTGGGGGACTGCAAGACACTCCCCAGCCCAGCTGAGCCTCAGATCAGCACAAATCCCCACCCAGCTCCCTGGTGGTGAAACGGGGCCAGCAAGCCCTCAGCTGGCTTTGCGGATGGCTGCTGACCCCAGAGGAGGAATAGGCTCACCCCATGCATTTGTGTCCTACAGGGTCACTCTGCTCTGTCCCCTGGCTGAGAGCCTGCCATGCCAGGGGAGGACCCAGCACATCTGACTAAGGAGCCCAGCAGTGCTGCTGACACCTGTTACACTGCAGGGAACGCTGCTCCCACTGCTGGCACCCGGCACACAGCCCCCTGCTTCCAGCACCACCAGTGCACGGATGGCAGCACCCACGGGTGTCGGTGGAAGCGACGTGGCCCTGAGCACATCAGCTCCCATGCACCCTTCTGCCCTACAGCCCGACTGCCCCCATTCTTATTGCCAGCACGAGCCAAGGCAATCTGATAATTAGAGCAGCAAATAACCCAAATCCGGTTAAAGTCGCTGCTAACTGCCTGGCTGGGACAAACATGGCTTAGTGGGGAATAGCTCCCTGGGCACATAGCTGCTCTGCTCCTCCTCATGGGGTGACATGACCCCTACTCTGGGCTGGGAAGGAGGCAGTGCCTCCGTGGGGCTCACACCCGTAGCCCAGCATCCCCTGGTCGCAGGCAGCACAGGGCACAGCAGCTCACTGCCTGGGACAGTGCTCAGGACCGAACTGGCAGCTACCCAGCACCGGGAGAGATGCCCAGGTGGGGCTGGAACATTTGGCACAGGAAAAGCCAGCACCTGCCTTGCACGGGGCCGTAAACAGCTCTGCTCAGTGGGAGCTCAGCCTGCCCCTTTCCCTGTAGATGGGCATGCTGCACCGCTCAGCAGCACTGCCTGCTTCCCCCATCACCTCCGGGCTGCAAACTTTGTGCTCAGCCCCGGGCAGGATCTGGCTCCTAAGGGCTGGGATGAGCGGAGACCTTGATTTGTATCCTAGCTGGAGGGCAGTGATGCTACCCCAACCGCCAGGGCTGGCAGAGCCAGACAGCAGCTGCTCTGCAGCCTGCAAGCTGCACCAAGCCGGGTGGGAAGGACGTCTTGGGTGGGGAAGGGTTAAACCGAGCTGCAAACACCTGCATCTGCTCGAGCTGGGCTCGGATGCCCCCAGCCCCTATGATGCAGATCTGTGTCAGTGGGTGAGAAATGGTGAGAAGAGTTTGCAGAGGTTGAAGGCAGCGATTCCTGGTGGGTGCCATTCCAAGCCGGGCAATGCCCATCACTGGCTGAGCCCCTCAGGGATGAAGCAAAGAGTCCAAGCCCAGCCAGCAGCCACCGGAGAGAGCAAGGAGCAGAGCGGAGCTGAGGCAGGGAAGCGGCCGCAACGGCAAACGCAGCAACTGGTGTCTCTCAGGAGACTTCCCCAGTTTGGGTCCAGCGCCCAGCCTGGCTGCGGCAGGGATGCTCCCAGCTACCACCCCCGTCCCCCTCCCCCCCCAAAGGGCAGCACCACGGTGACAGCACAGGGTTTGTCACCGCTGCAGCGCAATGCCATGACAGGCAGTCGGCACCCAGGAAGGTCAGCGAGACGGGGACCGACCCGCAGACCCGCACCCCGCAAACTCCCCGCGCCAACTTGGGGACTCACTGCAGTCGTCGGACTCGTAGCCCTCCGGATCCACCGCCTCCTCGGCTGGAGGGCACTTGGCTGGCGGCGGGGCGGGCGTTGTGCCATACGCCCCAAAGAGCTGGTCCACATCCTCGTCATCCTCACGGGGCGTCTCGGTGGGGCCGACCGAGGGCTGACTGACCGCAGGACGCAACGTACCGCTGCGGCCGACGGCAGCGGGGAGCCCGCGGGGGAAGCGGGGGAAGTAATCTGAAATCTGCTTGATGGGTTTGATGGGGCCGGGGCAGACGTCGATAGCCATGTGCTCCTGGATACTTATGGTCGTTTTCTCTCCTTTTCGGAGTGTCATGCATGCGGCTGTCCCGGCGTCCCCGGAGAAGCGAGGAGGCCACGACGGTGGTGGCGGTGGGCACGGGCTCCGCCGGGCTCCTACGTGGTTCTCGTGCCCTCAGCCTCGGCCGCCGCACGCATGCTGCTGCCGCTCGCCCCGGCGCTCGCACAGCCCCGATCCTGCCAGCTCTGCCTGCGAAGGAGTGAGCGAGACGGAGCGACGGCTGGGAGGCAGGGGGTGGGCTCTGGGTGATGTCACCAGCTAGCAACAAAGCGGCACCGGCAGCGGAGGAATGAGGGCTGTGGCCGGACCCGGGCTCTGGGATGGGCATCTGCTCGCTGCTCCTTCCCCAGCACGGCCCCGGGGGGCTGAGAGCCCTCGCCGATTCCCTTGGCTCCCGGTTGCAGCACACTCTGTTTCCCGAGCCCCTCAAAGGAAGGAAGGTCACAGCGCATCACAAGGAGCCCCGTCCCCACTGTGCTGCATCCCCACAGCTGTGCGTTGGGATGGAGCTGACCTGGCTTCAGGGAACAGCTTTGTCCCTGTGCCCCACGGCTGTGCCCAGGAGATGCTGTGCCACGTGCTGAGCGCTCAGCCCTCTCTGTGCCCCCTGCAGAAACGCCTGTACCAGGGGATGGAGCAACACGTGGTGCTTGGATGCTTGTGGCACAGAGCGAGGTAGAGGGAAAAGCACTGTGGTGTGACGTCCCCATGTGCTCCTGGGGTAGGAACAGGGACATAGACGTGGGCAGGGATAGGGACAGGGACATGGACAGGCTGCCCGGTGAGATAGCAGCAAGAGAATGCTGCAGCATGCTGGCAGAGCTGCCTCCAACTGGTGCTTCCACCTCAGCTCCTGTGCTCCATCAATACATCTGCGCTTCCACGCGATGCCAGGAGTGGATTTTTGAGCAAGGAGTGTTGGAAAAGAACAGCTATGAGAGCATGGTGCAAAAAGTTCCCCCTGCGTGTGACAGAGCAGCTCAGTGCTGGCTCTGACGTGACGTGGGGACACGCCAGGTGTCACGGCCATGTCATGCTAACCATGGGCAGCACCACCAGGTGACCCAACAGCATGCAGAGCCTATGGCAATGTGCACAGAATTGCAGCCTCCTGCAGCCTGGCATGCAGATGTCTCCTAAAAATAAAGCTTCGTTCTTTGGAGATCTTCCCCCTAAACCCAGCAAAGTGACGCAGCACCTCTTTGTCTAATGAAAAATTCCATTTCTCATTCAGGTTTTGGTAAATGTTAATGGACTTCCCTGACTCATAACGCTCTGACACTCGGCAAACTCCCCTCATTCGTTCCTCGCCTGGAAGCAAAACGTTTCTCCAGAAGCATCCAAATTTGTCATTGCCCTGCCTGGACACAGTGCAGCCAGGTGATGCTGAGGGTGAGGAGGGGAGGCTCCGTGCTGCCCGGCCTGGAGGTGCTCCCACACTCAGTCTCCATCTTTGGGCTCAGCCTCCAGGATGCCGTGCAGGCAGCAAGAAGCAAAAATTGGGCCCGAAGCCCAGAAAATAGCAGCAAATTCCCTCTTAAATAAAGGGCATTTAAATAAATAAATAAAATCGAGTTACGTACGAGCGCCTAATGTCGTTATTGCCATTACACGAGCGTCATTATTTCAAATGTTTTCTCCAATAGCTTGCGACTCAAACACAGAAAGATTGCTTTGCAGAGTCAGGAAATAGAGGCTGTGGGGTTGGGGTGAGGCCCTGAGCTCTGCAGCCCTGGCAGCATAGATGGGTGATGCTCAGCCCCCCAGGCTGCAGCCGTGCAGGCAGGCTGCACGTGGGAATCAGAGAGGGAAAAGCAAAGGCAGCACTCGGGGCTGGCAGAGCTCCTGCTGCCAGGACAGGATCGGCCCCGTGGGCAGCCCCGTCCCCAGACACAGAGATGGAAAGAAACAAAAACAAGGCTAACAGCCCAGGTGGGAATTTCCAGTTTCCACCAGGTCCCCAGCCTCCTGAAAGCAGCTGGAGATTTTCCTCATCTTTTGATGAGTCCCCACCTCACAAACCAAAGCAGATTGTCTTTGCTAAGCCTCCCCTTCCCACCTGCTCACCCCGCCGGGGCCGCGCAGCCCCGCAGCCTCTCACATGTGGGCTTATGTGATGGCCAGCAGGTAATGGGACAGAAATAGCACCAGGCTGGGAGACAACCACAGGGCTCGGGGATACAAAGCCGGCTGCCAGGTAAAGCCTTTAATTCCCACCGTCTGTCTAATGCCCTGGAATGTGGCTTGCTGTGATCCCTCACCTCTCCCTGAGAAGGGCAAAAGCAGGAGCTGTTTCAGCTCCAGTGCTGGCACAGGGATGGATCCTGCCCTGGGATGGCTTCAGCTTGATTTCAGTGTTTTGAGCAAGGGGCAGAAGCACGGCATGCACACATCCCAGCCTCCCCCTGCACCACACAGCTCTGCAGTGCTGCACAAACGGGATGAGGCAGCACATAAATGAAGCATGCGCCCGAAAATCCAGCCTGCCCTCAGCACACACTTCAGCCAAAGCTGTAGCAATCACTAAGCATCCAATTCTGCTGTCAAACTCCAGGTTTAAGTCGGCAAAATTGAGAGCTGATTCCTGCTTAATCCATTCCTTTCCAAATGGAAAGTGCGGCGATGCGACAGCGCATCTCCATCGCTTATCAGAGACTCAACAAGCGACCCCGTGGTTATTTCATACTCTGTCAGCTCAAAACCAAACCTCTGCTGGAACTCAGAGCTGTGACACTGGGCAGCCCCATCCTGCACAGCTCAGCCATCCCTTCTGCTCTTGCCCCACCAGTTTCAGGGCTGACTGAAGGCACAGCAGGCGTTACAGGTTGCCTGCTTGAGATGGGAGGAGCAGAGGACACCAGGAACCCAGCCCCTTTGTGACCTTGGGGTGTTCAGGACTTGCCTTGCCCTCAGCCTGCCCTGCTAATAGACAGAAAACGTGTTTGGCTTTCTTCACATGATTGCAGAAGGGGCTTAATTGATTGGCAATGCGTGCCCCACAGCAGCAGCAGTGAGAGATCCTGCCCTCTGCTCTAGGGAAGTGTGTGTCACATCCAACCTGCTCCAACACCCCCTGTGTGTGCTAAACAAAGCGACAGTGGTAATGACAACTGGGGAATGGGGCTGAATTGTGCTGAGAGGCTCCATCCTGGTTGGTGTCACAGCTTCTGGAGGAGCAGGGGTGGCTGCTCCCTGGCTGTATCCAAAGCCATTTGGGATGGGCCCAAAACAGCCCGACTTTGGGCAGGGCGTGATGCTGAACGCACACCATATGTTGCCATTTCCATGCGAATCCCAAAATAGACGGCGTTTCGTTTTGTGATTTTCAAAGCACCGGGTTGTGGGGATGCAGGGCAGCAGTGCCTGGTTCGCTCCATGGGTTCGGGATGCAGCGGCACACCGGGGTTTGGGGTCGGGCACGGAGCTGTGCCAGCACTTTGCTACCTGGAGGCACAGCCACCACCTGCTGCACGGCTGATCCCTCGCCGCCAAGGGAAGGGAGAGCTCTGTGCTGCATCAACTCCTATTAGGCTAATGTTATCTGCTCCTGGTGCCTTTCTGAGCTGGAGTCAGCATCCGCTGAGGTTACCCAGCTGTCTCGCCTCTGTGCTGGTTTGTTTGCCTCTCCCAGCAGGACCTGATGATGGAGAGCAGAGCCACCATCCATCCTGCAGCGGGGCCTCAACAGGGGCTGTGATTCGGGCTCAGTTCGTGTCCAGGAGCAGAGTTAACATCAGCATTTAGGGCCTGGCCCTGTTACCATGGAAATTGATAGACTTTCTGCTGGCATTTTGGTGGGAGGAGGCATTTCGGGTGTTGTGCATTTTGGGCAGGGAGCTGGATACCAGCAGAGGGAAAGGCCACCCATCACCAGCAGCGTCTTGAGCTCCGGGGATTCGTGAGACAACATTTCTGTTTCGCAGAATTAAAGAGTAATTGGGCTGCATTACGGAGCGTTATAACAGCTCCTCTCCCACCTACACATCAGGCTGATATCCTGCCAGAAGCGATCCAACCTGAGCCCCTGGTTAGTGCTGAAGGTGCCCGTCACAGACCCAAAGCTCTGCGCTGAGTTGTGCTGCTTGCTGCAGGGCTCCCTCCTGGCTCTGCCCCATACCTGCAGGGTCCCCTGGGTGGGATGTGGAGGGAGAAGAGGGCAGGTTTCAACCATTTCTTCTGACGAACCCATCTGGGAGGCACCTCCCAGGTCATTAAACAGACAGAGGAGTCACTAGATGGCCCTGCTAGTCCTGCTCATCTGATCACAGCATGGATGCTTTGAAATGCTTTTGCTGATGCTCTGAGGGCTTCTCCCGAGCCTGCTCCCTGCTCCCAGCCTCCCTGGGGGTGGAAGGGGCTCTCTGAGACCACATTCCCAGGGACCATTTCCTTCCCAGCATCTCCAGGACAGCACTGCTCTCGTCAGACATCATGGGTCTCTGCTCGGTGTAATCACACTGACAGTGATGGGCGTAAGAGCCAGGGAACCATACACTGAACATCGTGTTGCTGGCTAATCATGCCATTAGCATTATTGGATTAGAACATTTGAATAATTTGGATACAAGGCTACCTGCACCAGGACATATGTTGACATGAATTTACATCCATTTGCATCCCAATGAAGCTCTTCTGATCACATCATGGGAGAACACCCAGCTGTGGACAGGACTGGCACAGCCCCATATGTGTGGGTAGCCCTTCCTGGGATCTTACCCTGTGTCTTTTGATTCAATGATTTGATTTTATAGGAAGGGAGGAGTGAGATTCAATTACTTGATTCCTGATTCCTAATTTCCAGAGCATCCCTGAGTGCTTTCTAATGCACTTGTAGTGGAAATGCTAAGTCACGGCTGGAAGAAGTAATTGAGCACCTGGTGAGAATGCAGGGCCAACCTAGGGGAGCTCAGGTGTTTGCAATTCAGAAGGGGTAAAGCCAGGATCCACCCCTTCCCAGACCTCATTTAAGGGCTGGCAGTGGAGGTGAGGGCATCTTGCTGGAGATCCCTGTCTACTAGAGACCTTCTAAAGGTAAGTGGGTTTTCTTATTTGCTGTCTATGGGTGCTCCATTGTTGCTTGTTTTCATTTGCTGTAGCTTAGGATTGTGCCACCCTGCTGGTATTGCTGTAATTTCCATCATGTCGTAGAAACCCCAGCCCCAAAGCTGCCACTGTATTCCTCCTGGCTTCTTCCAAGCACTGATAGAACTGGG